AGGATAAAAGTACACAAAACAACTTTTTTTTTTACAGAAATAATTACAAACAATGTATCACGGTGTATTTGGAAATGTTCTATTTAAAATTATACAAACGACAGCTAAATTATGGTATAAAATGTAGATCAAAACAAAAATACAGTAGTTATTTGTCTGGTGAGGTTCACAATGAATATTTTATAGATAAGACCATGTACCTTGACAAACTGCCCATGGATTAATAAATGACTATAATTATTTTAATTTCTGTGAAAGCATTTACATTGTACAATGACAACGAACAAAGTAGGAATAAGATTGCTGTTTAAGATTCAGCAATAGATTGAATTTTACCAAAGTTAAAATGTAAACTTTCGATTACCATCAATAGGTGGGTTATGCGAGGAATAAAGAAGAAAATGTAAGCTTAGCCGCTGAGAGAGTATGAAAATGTTGTAGTACCTCCACGTAGGAATTTTATGACAATCGATTAAAATTTAGAAAAGGGAGTGCGAAATAATGTTTAAATAAGTTTCAGTGCATGTGCGCATAAAATACCTATCAGTTGGACAGAAATTGAGAGAGCGTTGCATCTAAGGCATTTTGTCTCAATAACTTTAAATGCAGTCGGCTTCAGAAAGTCGCCAGGTTGTATACACAGTTCTGATTTGGGTAGCCGGACTGTAGTATTTAAAAGTGTAACAAATGCTGTGCAAGTCAGGAAAGCAAAGTTCTCTAGTGCAAAATAATTATGGAATAGCCACCAGACAATAATGACATTTGGAATATAAACTTTTATTCTATAAACACAAAGATATGGTCTTAATATTTTCTAAAATACTCACGGGATCGAGTATTTTTTTCTTTTTTTAAAAAAAAAGTTCCCCAAGACGCATTAATTTGTTTTATTTTAAATACCGGTTTGCCTTTCATCTTCCTTTCGGGCCATATCTTAAACTGTTAAAAAATATCAACCTTTAAAGCCTTTCACATATTCACACGTCAACACAATTACCCTCTTAACCATTCTCAAACAACACTTATAATCGAGTTTCGAACACTGAGACGCAGCCTTTCAGCAACTGCAAACATCTCTCCTTCAGCCAATGCATCTGCAAATATGTAAAACATCCATGATTGACGGTCCTGACAAGCCGGGGAAGGAGCTTGTATCAGCATTCGGTTTTAAACTTATTGAACGAGTCGTCTATTTTGGTCAGAGTCTTTCGGATGCGCAGTGCAGTTAGTCTCGCTGATGGGTTTGGATACCAACATTCCTTCATCACCTTTGCAAGCGACGTTAACGTCTGTTGCGAGAGAGACAACATTGACAGTAGAATTATTCACTTCAAGAATTATATCAGAAAGCTATTTTTATTTTTTTAAAAATCGTCCCTTCTTCAATAAGACCAAAACCCAAACTCCTTGTTCTATAATACCATTGTCATCGGCCTCTATTTTCGATTTGGTGCTACGATTCGAGATGTAAAGTGTTCAGTTTGTCCAGTTTAACTGTGATAAAATGGGACCTTTTTGCAAAACGTACCATCTAGTGGCAAAGCCAAGAATTGAAGATCAACGGCTGAAAGAATTCTCATTTGAACAATTTCTCATCTTACTCCGCTGCTATTCCCCAAAACAAACTACTTATTACTTTCAATTAAAAAATGAAAACTATAAAAGGTAGACCTTATTACACTTCACCCCCCCCCCAACATTTTAGGCTTACATCATTTTTGATACTCACAAAATACAGTCAATTCACTTTATATTCTGCGAAGCGCGTTGAGACGTCTCAACAACATGATAAGGCACTATATCAAATGCAAGGATTATTATACAATAGTGTATCCCAATACTAACTATTCTTTTGGAGTGGGATTATCTGCACAGTATATTTATTGGAAATACCGACAAATCCCTGGATGGAGCTAGTGCAGGATTTTATGAATGTCACTGCAACTATTTTACCTCTAGTTGTATTTAATTTTTTTTTAGCTGAAATTAACAGAGAATGCTCTAAGTGAGGTGGTAACATTATCTATCACTCTTAGTTACCTCACTGCACAGTACTGAACAAATAACAGCTAAGCTTACATAACAGATATATATGTGTATATATTTTGTTTCGCCCACAAAGTATGTACAGTCAATCCACTTTACAGTATATTCTTTGAAGCGCTTTGAGACGTCTCGAAGACATGATAAGGCGCTATATCAAATGCAAGGATTATTATTAAAACACACTGCTGTTCTTACAGGGTCTGAAAACCATCTATTTGGAATATTTGGTCTCTGTTGATCCACGCAGACAACTTTCTTCATATCATCAAAGCTAGGATCATTGGGCACTAGATCATAGAACGGAGACTTATAATCTTCTACAATTCCTGAACAAAAACAGAACCAAATGAGTATGTTTTTAGTCAACTCCGCAAGATTTGAATTACATCACCAATGATTTATATGACAAGTTGTAATGCATTCCATAGAAATTAGCAGGGACAGTATTTTTTGAAAAAAAACAATATTATCCATATGTTCACCCACAAAATCCTTGCTTTACTTCTAAGGGACTTTGAGAAGTTCTCATTTCATGAACGGCACTATATGTAATGCAAGGATTATTATTATTATCGTGGAACTAGCAAATAATTTTTTTTCTTCATTGAATGAAAACAAGTCAAGGCGAGTGCACAGTGAAGAAACAAACAAACAAAAAAACTGGGGCCTGGCAGATATCTTATAGATGGTAAAAGGGCCACATTTCTAAGGCATCTTGTAAAAGAGGGAAACCACATGCACTTCCTATGGGCATAGATCTGTAATGGGGTAGAGCTTCAAGTTAGGAAAACACAGTAAAATGAGCGGGGAAGGGTTCACCTCAATCACATTTATTGTAAATACAACAGTCTTTAGCAAATACAAGTTTACTTATTACACGCTGGATACAATACTACGTTATGACTCCGTAGAGTAAAACTGCCGTCAGAGTAAGTCTGTATCAGTAACAGACTGAACTGCTCTGACAGATGGTAAGCCTGTACTCCAAACCACGCCATCTGTTGGAATTCAAGCCATTAAATGTGGCCAAGTTCATTTTCAGGAAGACCACCAGAGCGATTCAGGGTGAGTGAGAAGAGGACGATTTGAAAACTACGAGATCACATTTTTACTCCAAGTAAACAACCTGAACAGGTTTGTTTATATTTGTCTCCAAGTTAAAGGTAACTTTCAAATAAATCTAACTCGGAGCAATATCATGTTTCAGATATTGATCACTTCTCCCCTCCTGTACTGGATTTAAGGCTCCCAATTACTTTGGGACATTCATTGCTCATTAAAGGGTAATAATTCCTTCAAAAAAACAAACAAAAAAAATAAATTTGGTCACTCAATCTCCAACTGTTTGTGGGACACTGTTGCATGCAATTGATTGCCGCATTTCTGCCACAGAATACACAATGACTTCGCGGTACATTCTGTGAAGCGCTTTGAAACGTCTCAACGACGTGATAAGGCTCTATATCAGATGCAAGAATTATTGTTAAGTAAATACTCACCATTACTAATAGTCCTCCTGGCTACCTCCCAAAGCACCAGCCCAAAGGCCCAGATGTCAACTCTCCTATAGGAATCATATAAGTTGACCTGGATGGATTCATCCAATATCTCAGGAGCCATGTATCGCTTAGTCCCAACCCTGGGATTATTCCCCATATCTAGGTGATTAGTGCACTGTGAGTGCATCACAGCCAGACCTTCAAAACAAAAATGAAGCAAATTATATAAATATTGCCACACGACACTGAATCTTCTATTGCTATTATGCGTCACGTACATGTGGGTGGAAAAATATGTTCAGTTAATTTAATAATTATCAAAATATCACAACATTTGAGAAGAAAAAGAAGTGAGCAAAAGGTACTCTGTACAAAATATTGTTGTTTGGGCAGTTTTAAAACTGCACAAAACAGTCAATTCACTTTACAGTATATTCTGTGAAACGCATCGAGATGTCTCAAAGACATCATAATGCGCTATATCACATGCAAGGAATATTATTCTTATTACTACTTCACTCCCATTTGGTATTAAACACATATAGTTTGTTCAACAAGTTTTATAAATAGAATAATCTTTTTTTTTTAAATCACCTCAGAAGGGGTGACTACCATTCTCTTGATCAAACAAGTATGTTTTTTTTTGCCCCTCAATATATCTACATCACATAACACTGCAGCTCCATAATCGCGAACACGTCGCTTATTTTTGTTCTCGGATACTCTGCAGTGAGCATCTGCAGTCTAATGGAGCTATTCCAGACATCATGAGCAGGATCTGTTTTTTTCCTGTTAATCCATTTTGTGAGGTGGCCTCGAAACCGTTGGATAATGATGATAGATAGTAAAAAGCAGTTTGTTCTGTGTTCTCAGCAGCAAAGTTCTGAGGAGGATGTGTAACCCATCCATTTGGCAGAAAGAGCATTATTCCCAGCCAAGGCAATTTTTTTTAATATATATTATATATAGCCACCTTGTAATTGACTGGATTGCACATCTACAAAAGTGCAAGAAATTTGGTTAGAGCACTCGCCTCGCAAGCGAGAGACCCGGGTTTGATTCCTGACAGGGCAACATGTTGGCCAAGTTTCCTTACTCCAAACACACGCCTCCGTTTATCTAGCAGTATGTAGGAACCCGGTTATTAGTCGATTGGCGGATCGCTTTTCCTGAGGTAATAATGCCTTCAAAACAAATAATATGGTCACTTCAATCCACAACTGTTTGTTGGACACTGCTGTGCGTGATTGGCTGCCACGTTTGACCCACAAAATCTACAGTCGATTCACTTTACAGTATATATCTTGTGAAGCGCTTTGAGACGTCTCAAAGATGTGATCCAGCACTATATGAAATGCAAGGATTATTATTTTTATTATTATTATTGCTCTTACCCAAGTCCGCTATGCAACAGTGCCGGTTCTCCTTGACAAGGATGTTTTTGCTCTTCAAGTCTCGATGCGCAATTGCAACTTTCCCCTGTGTCCCAATTATCTCCGTGTGCAAATGTGTTAGACCACTGGCGATGGACAAAGCTATCCGTAAACAATCCACAGTGTCCAGGGTGGTGTACTGCAGATAATCATAGAGGGATCCTGCCTCATGGTAATGAGTAATCAACCACAGCTGCGTGCTGGAATTTCTCGACGTCATGTCAGACGCAATGAAACCTAAGAAAAAAAATGTCAGTCAGGAATAACGTTGGTCTAGAAACATCACCCTAAGGTTTGACATGAACTCCCCAGGATTTAACGTTACAGTTTTTGAAGAAGATCTTATCACAAACATGGATTCAGCTTCAGCGAATATAAATCCACTGCCCCACACACACACACATCCTTTCTTCCCGCTCCCAACATGGGAAGCACCTAGCTCTGTTCCCCTGCCAACCCCATCAACACCCCCCCCCACCACCCACACGCACTGTGGCAATGTTCATCAATATTTCAGTTAACATTTAAACTGAATGTTTAAATGAATGTTTGAGACTTTAGTGAAACGCAAGCCGGTTTTATGTTTTCCTGGAAGCAATAAAGTGCATATATAAAAAAAAATTCCAAAGGTTAAAAACACCACCTGGTCATTTTCATACAACATCTAGCACTTGTCACAAAGCGAAGCTTTTAATATTCTTTAAATATAAATAGATCAAAATAATCTCCAGGAAATGTAGGATCCGCCAATCTCTTGATGTGCTGCGTGAGTGAGTGCCAAACTAGAGCCTTTTTTTTCTTTCCTTGTAAGAACGTCATTTATCATTTGGTCTGAGACTTGGGTTGCTAAGATACAGAGTGCAAGCACTCTCAACAGTTTTATTATGCAACCAGTGGCCACTCTTTTTAGCCCTGTTGGTGTACAGGAACCCTTTTCAGTGGCCGGGTCTAAGTGAACGTAAGTGTACTTACTGGTAATGCATCACCAATTTCCGTGGACCCTCATATAGACTCCCGCTAGACTCCTAATGCACTTACCAGCCCCACACTGAGCGTCCCTCCTCATCAGTGAAGTGGGGGTGGTACATGAGCTAGGAGGCTAGCTGGAGTCTACTTGCGGACATTTTTGGCCTGCGGAAACATTTTTTAATACATTTTTGGGGCCCAGTCAACAAACCAATAATCCCTTATTCAGAGGCCTCCCTTACCTCAAGGCTATACTTTGGTCCAATCCCTGGAATGGTTGCTGAAAACAGGTTCGACTGTACATCCAGCTGCAATATCTCACATATTGGATGAGGGGTGATGAAGGAGACAGACCCCCTGTTCCCCCCCACCACACACCAAACTACTACATTCTCAGGGTTTTTTTTTTTAATTTTAATTATTTATTTTTTAGTTGAAATCCCTGACACAGCTTGTTTTCAAAGTAAAAGTCACCCTAACCAAAGCCATGTTATAGACTATTCAATGCCATCTCGCCTCTAGTTGTGGATGTATTAAACACGTGCTGTGCTGTAAGATTCTGTAAAGATGCTCTAATATTCATAGGATATTAACTTCTATAAGTCAATATATAGTATTTTAACTTTTTTTAAAAAAAATTCCAATAACTCACCTAAAATGTTTTCGTTTCTCAACAAGACGCTGTTGTAGATCTCAGTTTCCCTGAACCAGGACTTTTCATCCCTGGAAGAAAATACCTTGACTGCCACACTTTCTCCTTGCCACTGCCCCCGCCACACTTCACCAAAACGTCCTTTGCCTGTAAAATGAACCAGGGTGAAGAAAATGCCAGACCCCCGACCGCTCAAACAAAATTTTCAAAGTCTGTGGTGTGGAAGCCAATATTTTTTTCGATTTAAGGATCCCTTTCTCAAGAAAAGATATTCAGTTTACACACGATGACACTGATCTTTACTTTCGTCTAACTTCTTTTCATCCATGCTCTTGCTGATTTTTTTTCTACTTTCTATCAGGTGTGGCTTCAAACAAATGTGCCGTGGCAAAAATTAGCACTGGGATACATCGCTAAAGTCTGAGATTTTGTACATTTTTCCTCAGTGGGTCTCGAAACATTTTCAGGGCTCATCTCCTGCAGAAATGTCTGTTGAGCAGGTGTCATCGGCAATTCTTTAGCGTTTCTATTTAGAGATCTAGTGAAATACAAGAATCCCCCACAGAGTCTGTAACAGTGTTAAGGCACAAATAAGGACTGAATTATTGCATTCAACCCGCACGTCTACGGAGTAAAGATCAATAATATCAGTTACATCATGCACACACTAGACTTTTGTGTTGCAAGATATCACTACATGTTTTAACTCGCTTCCTGAAATCAAAGAATAAACCTTGGTTCGTACAGACTGGGTTCAGAATCTCCCAGCACACTTGTTTTATTTGTAATGATCTTAACTCCATATCAATACGTCTACCAACTAAAGCATTACTTTCGCATTCATTTCATTTTCCTTTGGCTTGGAAATTCATCCCGAAGATTCTCCTTAATCCTATTAAGGACATAACCCGCCAACTAGATCATCCTGGCCTCTGTCATTAAATAGGGCAATGTTCAAGTCACACTGTACGGTTAAGGCTTGCAACACCAGAATGTCAGCAAACCCATGATTCAGCGGAGCAAATTTATATCAATTCACCCGTACTTAAATCCTATAAACACACAGTGACTGTTACTGACCGACACATTCCATCAGAGTGATCTGCCGAGCCACTGTCCTCTGTATGAGAAAGGGAAGCCCTGAGCCACTGCCTGAAGTACAGGAATGATCCAGCAGATCCTGCAGGGACATAATAATAATACTTGCATTTGATACAGCACCTTTTCACATTGTGGAGACGTCTCAAAGCCTTTCGCAGAATATACTGAATGAATTGACTTTATATTTTGTGGGACAAAAGATTTACGTTTATCCTCACCCTTCGATGTTTAGGGAAAATATGTGCAAATAAATTATGTTTTAACCAGAAATGATGAAGATAAAAATAGTGCCATAAGACATAAATGTAGGTGAGAACTCAGTCTTGTCTTCACTGGCTTTGAACAGCTGCAGAGGAGATGGTTCTCATGGAATTTCTTAGTCAGCAATACACCAGATGTTTGCCAGACGGACAGTAATGTGGGATATGTTTGCCAGACAGATCCAGCCTTTCCTCCACCATAATAATAATAGTTGCATTTGATATAGCGCCTTATCATCTCTTCGAGACGTCTCAAAGCGCTTCACAGGATATACTGTCAAGTGAATTGTCTGCATATTTTATGGGCGAAGCGCAGCAGCCAATTGCGCACAGCAACCTCCCACACACAGTCGTGCATTGAGTGACCAAATTAGCATTTTTTTTAAATCTTATTTTTTCAAAGGGATTATTACCCTCGGAAAAGCGATCCCACAATCGCTTAACAACCTGCTTCCTACTTACTGCTAGGTGAACGAAGGCGTGTGTGTGGAGTAAGGAAACTTGCCTAAGGTTTCTCCCTGCTTGGGAATCAATCCCAGGTCCTCTCGCTTGCGAGACGAGTGCTCCAACTACTAAGGTATAGGACTCCATATCTCAAGATTGGGGCTCAGACATCAAATAATTCAGTCTGCGATGACCAGGTCCGTTGCAAATATAGAACCAAGCATGTGAAGCATTTGTTTGTCTTTACATTAAAAAACATTTGACATATAATTTCCCCAATCGATGTTCACACCATGACCTGGTGGTAGTGGAGTGAAGTCATATCCTGAGTACTGTGGCAACAACAGAACATGAGTTCTATCAATGTTTGACTGTGCTCATTCCAAGCTCACAATCTCTTGATAACTCTGTTGGCTCACTTTGAAATGTCCTCATTGTTCCTGGAACTGAGAATCGGGAATGGGAGGTCGGGGGGTGGGCAGGAGGGAGAAAAGGAAGAACAAAACAGACAGGGCTGTACTTGAAAGCACATTGTGAGATTGGTGGAGAACAATTGGGCTTCACGCGCTCTCTGGTTGAATGCCTTGCGCGATTTTAATAATGCATTGGGGCTGAACAGGATTTGAAAGTCTGAAGTATGTGAAACCAGTCAGTTTAACAACATGCTTTGAATACAGACACCAACACATTGTGCGTTAACGTCACGCGATACGATGCAAAACATAGTGCTTCTCGAGCAGGGAAGAAGTAAGGTACATTAGTCCTGAAAATAGAAGAGTGGAAAGCCTTACTGCAAGTGTGCTATCACCGACATTGGATGCAATCAGTCCATCTACGGCCCCGTATTCAACCTCTCGAGCATTCAGCCTTTGCATCTGGTTTTGGTGAAGTTTTCGGAGGATCAAGACGGTCACCATAGAGACAATAATCAGCACAATCACTGGGGCAATAACAACAACAGTCAGGGTTGTTACGTTATAGTTCAGCGCTGCTCCTTGCTGCAACTTGCCTTCGAGAGGAAAGAAAACAATTCTGAAATGTCACAACAAACACGCAAATAAGTTCAAATCACAAACGGCATCAAAGTCTCACTGAAATTACAGGACTGTTTCATCAATAATAATGTAACAATAATAATCCTTACATTTAATACAGCGCCTCATCACATCTTTGAGACGCCTCAAAGCGCTTCACATAATATACTGTAAAGTGAATTGACTGTATTTTGTGGGTGAAACGCAGCAGCCAATTGCGCACAGCAGCGTCCCACAAACCGCCGTGGATTGAGTGACCACATTATTATTGGGAGGCGAGTGCTTTAACCAATTACGCTACAGGACTTCACAACATGGGCTATTTGGGGATTCATGACGAAATTAAACGGGTACAATTCAGCACCTCACACAAGCGAAATTCAGGTGGGAGACAGCATACATATCTGCTATGCCACGCTGACTGTAATGCATTTGTAACTTTTCCCCCCATTTGCATCTTGAGGATCTGTAAAGCTCCACAGAATGTTCTTTCAGACATGCAGTATTTGCACAAGAATGCAGTGGTGAGGTTCCCGAGTGACTCAGAAAATGTCCTACAATTTGCAAACAGGTGTGTGAAAGCACCTTTGATTCTCAGGTTTCTGCAACGCATACAAACAGAGGTTCACATAAAAAAAAAGTCACCTTTTGGTAGCAGTTGAACGGTTATGTTCATATTACACAAATAGCCCTGACAGCACTTCACTGCCTGATCTGCCGATGGTGGAGTTTTGCATGTCATTTTACTCTGTTCGTACACTTGGAAGCAGCCCTTCTGGTAATCAGGAAGACCCTCGTTGATGATCAGCGAGGCAAAACAATGCTGTCCAGAACAGCGATCCTTTCCCTCACACGACATCCCTTCACACACACATTCATACCGGACCTCGTTTAATTTCAGCTGTTCATCTGCAAAACAAAAATTCCAGAAAGTTATACAGAACCCCGTTGATTAAACCCGTTTTTGGGTGAAGAAAATGCAATGCTCGTGTTGCAAATTCACCTCAACAGACGCAGTGAAAACTTAGAATTCCCCCAATGTAGAGCTCACTCCACTAAATGGCACTTGCAACTGTATCCTTGACACCAAAATATTCCAAACATTCCCTGAGAACAAACGGAACCTTAGTCCAGTACTCATCGACTGAGTTCAACAACGGTTCTCTCAAAGAGCATTTCTCAGAATTGGGGTGAATTCTAAGTATTAAAATGTATTTAACCCTAATTACATCCCACGACTCCAAGCTACAGTTTGTTGGTGGGTCAATACATATCAATCCTCGTCATTGGTATCTTTCACGTTAGGAGGACGTCTCAAAGCACCTCGGGATATACCGCAAAGTGCAGTGACTGTTTTGTGGGTGAATGCGGCAGCCAATTTGTGTACAACAATGACCTACAAACAGCCATGAAATGAATGACCAATTTTATTGGCCAGGACACCACTGAGAAATTGCTTTCACTTTTTCCAATCGGGTCACAAGATCTTTAATACCCACCTGAACCGGCAGACAGGACCTTGCTTTAAATGTCTCACATGAGATCCAGGTTGCGATGTGGGGCTTGAACCCACAACCTTCTAACTGAGCTACATCATCTCCTTGTGCATTTAAATTTCACAAAAACAAACACAAAACCTGAATTTGTCACCAGCTCTACACAAGTTTGGTACCACTGAGCTACAGAATTATAGAATCAAGTATTACAATACCTTTGGAAACTTGACCTTATTTTGTAGAATCTTACAGCACAGAAGGAGGCCGTTCGGCCCATCGTGCCTGTGACGGCTCTTTGAAAGAACTACCAACTAGTCCCACTCCTCCCCCACCCCCGCTCTTAACCCACAGCCCTGCAAATTCTTCCTTTTTAAGTACCTATCCAATTCCCTTTTGAAAGCTACTATCGAATCTGCTTCTACTACCCTTTCAGGCAGTGCATTCCAGATTGTAACAACTCTCTGGGTAAAAAGTTCCTCATCTCCCCTCTGGTTCTTTTGCCAATTATCTTAAATCTGTGTCCTCTGGTTACCGACCCACCCATCAGAGGAAACAGTTTCTCCTTGATTGAACCACAGAACCTAATCTTACAGTTGAAGTTAAACTGCACATATCAATTAAGAAGATTTCGGAATCATTAACCTCAATAATCTGATTCATCAGCTAATGAAAAACAAATTTGGCGCTGATTGGTAACACACTCTTAGTTCCCATTTGAAGTACTCATATACATAACTAAAATACACAGCAATTTTAAATTAATAAAAAAAAACCCTAACAAGTTCCAAAGGGCAAGAGAGAAATTATTCAGTGTGACATATGAACTTCAAACAAATTCTCCATAGAATACCTGTACAACACTCTGCTCATATATTCTCTCTCTCTCTCTCATCACAGATAAATGTTGTAAAGCAAAGATTTGTAGGCAAATCGTAGTAGTCAATTTGCACCCGAGCAATGTTCCAAATACACACATACTAAATATCCAACCGACAGAGAAGGTTGTTGATGTAGATTTGCTGCCACCAGGAGGAGTGTGTGTGCTGGAAAACGTCAGATTCCACAGAATTTCTCCCACCCTCCACACGGCAATTCGAGCAAAACTTTAAGATAGCCAAGTACCCAAATGTCCGACTGTCTCTGATATTTCCAAGGCCTTTAGCTCAAAGGACAGCAGCTCCCAAAAGTGCAGCACACTCTCAGCACCACGTTGGAGTGTCTGTCACCTTAGACTATGCGCTTCTGAGTCCCAACGTGGGGGCCTGAACCCACAACCTTCTGACTCGAGAGGCGAGAGTGCTACCACTGAGCTTGGCTGCAAGGAAGCCCTATAACAGCCCTCAGTGAAATCAGTGCATCACCCGTAGTCCTGCATCGCTGGCCTGTTCAGGCAGTCGGAACCTAGTGAAATAAATGTGGTGGTGGGGGGGGGGGGTGCCTGGCTTGTTGGCTGCTGAGGTCCGGATGCCCAATTTGAGAAACATCCATGGGCCACATAGGCAATATTTTTGCGATTCCCTGCCAGAGACACAGAGCATCACATATAGGGGTTATGGAGGGAGTGGGTGGGACAGATGAAATGGAGGGAGGTTGGGGGGATGGGGGGGTGGGGGGGCGCAGATTGCCTGATCGGAACAGCTTAAGTTTCGAAACAAAACTGCGGAAGACGGTGCTGTAGAAAAATAACTGAGGAAACTCTCTTTAAATTAATAGCACGTGGTTTGACGTTTTCCCCCAAACGTGATTTTTTTTTCAACGACAACAGTAGATCGATTTCTTTTTGTGGACGGCCAAGACGTCCTGGCGCGGGCAGAAACCCGCCACCTGAGCCCAATCCGACAGTTAGGGAGTTAAAACGGGCAAGTCATGTTCGTACCTTCACAGCTGGAAGATGGAAAAGTCAGTGTCATCAGAACAGAAAGGATCATCACACGACTTCCCATTGTGTACCTGCAAAAAAAAAGGAATTACAATCAACATTTTTATGAACCTTTGGCTCGGGTACGCAAAAGCAAACTTTTTTTTTAAAAAAAAAAGTGCAGGGAGGGAAGAAAACAACAAGAGGATTAAAAGAAAGACAAACCCACCCCCCCAAAAAAAAACAAATAAATAAAAGGATAGGCAAAACAATCTGCTTTCACATCATGAATCCTCCTCTGCTCCACAAGGCAACTCTATAACCACAAGCAATCCAGTCAAGCAATCGTCTTACATACTGCACAACGCAAAAAAAAATTCTCAGAATAGGTTATCTGGCTCCATGCAGCACTCTGTGTTTAGACGGCTGAAAGCTTGCCAAAAACTTTGAAACCCCGTCAAGCTTCATTCAGCTGGTTGCCATTTTGCTGTGAATATGCTGAAAGTCAATCCCCCCCACACACACCACCCCCCCACCTCCCCCGTCTCTCTCTCGCTCTCTCACCCTCCATTAAAAAATGAAAACTGTCACAAGCCTTAAAACAGAGCACTTTAGGGGGAGGCAACACAGTCCTCAAATTAGGGGCTGCTGGTTCACAGCTTCACAAGGGAGATGCAGGAGAATCCATGCAATAGTTAGAGCACAGCACCTCAGCATCTGTGCCTGAACAGCCCTCTCGGCTTTGCTGTGTTGGAAGGGAAATAAGTGGCAGTGTTCCAGAAGCAAAGACTGTGGGAGCTGAGAGCAGCAGATCAGTTCTGTGTTCTATTTTATTCGAGACATCGAGACTTAGCCACTCGATAGAAGCACCTCTGCCCCCACACTCGCTGGTACAGAGAGGACCTTTGCTGACGACCCCATTAGTTTGCCCGTAGAACCTCGAGTACGCAGAGCTAACGCCCCACCTCGCCACAAGTTGATGGGTCTGTTACGTCCCGCAACCGGGGTAAAAATGAGTTGCATTTCTATCGCGGGAGTTGCTTCTCTTGAGAGAAGTGTAAATACATAATCTGCAAATAAGTAATAATTCTCGCATTTTGATACAGTCACGTCTTCGAGACGTCGCGAAGCGCTTCACAGAATATACTGTAAAGCGAATTGACTGTATTTTACGAGCAAAACGCAGGCACAATTGTGCACAGCAGCGGCCCACAAACAGTCGTGGATTGAGTGACCAAATTATTATTTTTTAAAAAAAAGGGATTGTTATATAAATATATATTGTGTGTTAAAAAAAAATCCTACAGCTTCACCCGGTAGGGATCCCAAGTTATTGGTCCAGGGGTAAATGGTATTCCTGTTGCAGAAATAAATCCTGAAGACAACAGTCGTCGAAATGCTATTTTCAAAAACCAATAAAACTTTTTTTATAAAAAAAAACTAACACCAATGACGAACAAGGTTTCACTCTTTATTAAATATGCATCAAAACAGCTTCCTGCTCTCACGAAACATTAATAATACTTGCACTAACTAACCACATTACTATAATATTCAAGACGTTAAAGTTGGCATTGAGCTATAATAGCTGCCAAGCCAAACAGGATGTTTCCCTTCATTTCATCTCAAACATCTAAATATCTTTCTGCAGAATCAAGCTCAGACTTGAAACGCAGATATTCATTCAACAGTTCAACACAGTCCATTATCACCACAGCCTAACCCAAGCCACTCAGCTTTGTTGAGGTTACCCCCACCCCCGTCACTGTCAAACCCATTGCTGTTTCATCACCAATTTTGCTATGTGCAAAAAAATCTAAATTAAATTTGTAGCATTCAAACCTCACTGGACAACAACTGATAATCCCTCCTAGTCTGCCCCACTATCAGCCTCTCTGCCCACATCCTTTGGAACTCCATCCCAGTCAACTTAGCCTCGCTCCCTCTCTGACCTCCTTCAAGGCACATCTCAAGACCCTCCTGTTCGACCGTGCCTTTGATTGCCCTCCTACCCCCCACCCCTCCTCATCCCAACCCCCAGCTCGGGTCCAAACTCCTGACTGTCCAGGGCCTTGGCACGTCCTCCTGACATGAAAGGCACTATACAAATGTAATTTGTTAATTTGTTTGTTGTTAATCCCAGTCTGGACAGTAAACCTCTTCAACGTTGAAGCTTTGCCAAATGCTAACTTTAAAAGGGGAGCGTACGTACATAATGAAACTGCGAGGAATTGTTTTGGTTCAGGAAGAGAAGCAGAACCATCACTAATCGTTCATCTGAGGCAAGAAATGTCATGATTTCTCTCCTCACTGCATGTTCACAAACAAAGGTTTTCCAAACACATCAGCGAAAACAGCACAGGAGAACCAGCCACTGTTCATTAGGCAAAAATGTGGAAGGAATCTTTAACATTTACATTTTATTAAGTCTAAACCAATGACACGTTAACTCAAAACCACGACTAGAACAAAACAACACGAAGAAAATGGTGTCAAAAGTAAAACACATTTCTGAACAACAGTTAAATTTTTCCATGCAACATTTTAATAATAATCCTTGCATTCGATACAGCGCCTTATCACGTCTTCAAGACATCTCAAAGCGCTTCACAGAATATACTGTCAAGTGAATTGACTGTATATTTTGTGGGCAAAATATTACTAACAAGTGTTATTACTGGACAGGTTTTTACACCCATCACAGCAATCTCAACACCAATTATCTTAGAAAAGTGCAATACAATATTTTAACCCCTCATTGATAAACATTTATCAATATGAACCTAATTCAGCACAGACCCCATGTTGAACCTGGAAGGTTCGAAGTATTTATGGCTCAATCACACACTGGATAGAGAACTTATCAGCTGCAGAGATGAACCGCTGTAAATCATACTTCATTTATATAGCGCCCTTCACGTGGGACAATGTCTCGGAGCACTTAATTATAAAGAAGCGCTTGTTTTGGATCTGCCTTAATTCTTCGAACCTTCACATATCTTATTTCAAACTTGCATCAGTTCCTGAAAATGGTGAAAACAGATTTTAATAAATGGTGAAAAATATATATTTTACTATGTGCTCAAAATTAAATATTTAATTGGACGAGCATTTAGTTCTTACATACGGTCTGTAATTTTAAAGCCAGCTTTCCGTGAGTTATTTTAACTGTAGAAAGCTGGCTTCAAAGTTATAACTAAATTCAACTATTTGCCAACTAGGACCCTCATTTAATATAGAGTAAATCCAAATAAATAGAGTTTTGCTCGAATTGGCTTTAATCAACCCAAATGATCACTGCATCACAGATAGAAGATACAAAGATTAAAATGAAAAATCAAATCAAAACATTAAACGGGATAAGATACGGTTGTGGAGACTCTGCTAGTGATGGGAATGTATGATAACACAAAGGATTTTGCTGTATTTCTTTCAAGATTTTCATTCTTTTACTCTGGGTTCATGAAGCCCTCTCAGAAAAGGCATTAAAGCATAGAGAGGAGGAAATATGTGGTGGGGCGTGGAGAGGTGGGGGCTTGAGTGTGGTTTGTCTGCACGTTCTGAGTCCCTGCAATACACACGCTTGAGAAACACTGCATATAATAATAATAATTCTTGTATTTGATATAGGGCCTTATCATGTCTTCGAGACGTCTCATATAAATATAAAAAATTTTCATATTAATGCTGGTCAAACGTTCAAGCAGGCTTGACTTGTGTTTGAGAAGCATTTTTGGGACATCCTCCCTGCGTGAAAGGCGCTATATCAAATGTAAGGCTTAGTTGTTATATAAACCATATCACTGTTGTAAAAAAACAATAATAACTAATGAATGGGTAATGTCCCACAGCACTTCGAAACAAGAGGCTACAACAGTGATGGGAGTTACACTGATATAAAAAATGGAGCATTGACAAACAGAAAAAACTACTCCCAAGAGTTTGGGCTGCAAACAGATCTCACAGTGAAGAGAAAACAAAAAGAGAACTCAATAATTTTTCCTAATGGGAAAGAAAATATATTGCTGGCAACAGAATATAAAAAAGGAGAGAGGACTGGTCTCAAGCCAAAGGATTTTATCTTGGGAATGTAGGAGTTCCACATGTTTGGATGTTCACAGCCCATCTATTTATACTTTCTCTCTTCCCCCCACGCCCAACCCCCCACCATCCCCTTAGCTCACCCAAATAATGCATCTTATTGTTGAAAAATTTCTGCAGTGAACTGGATCACCCAACACTTTTTAAGGACCGTTTCTTAATGTTACATTTCATTTAATACAATTTTTTAATGCTGTGTTTAACCTAGCAATAAGTAGGAAACCGGTTGTTGTGGGGTAATAAATAATCCCTCAAATAAAAATCCACGACCAGCCTGTGGCATATTCATGTGTGCATTTGGCTGCCGGGTTTCGCCCACAAAATACAGTCAATCCACTTTACAATACATTCTATGAAGCGTTTTTTGAGACGTCTCAACAATTTGATAAGGTGCTATATCAATTGCAAAGATTATTTTGATTATTATTAGTGAAAAAACAATCCACGTTATAAACTGGACCGTTCTGTCTGAAGTTAAACTCCTCCAAACGTTTAGACTTTCCATCAAAATACAGCTCAAGGCAAGTTACTTTTTTCAGAAAACATCCTTGAAGCTTCAATGTTATCAAACAATCACCATTTCAATGTATGTTACAAAAGCTCAACTTCAGGTTGTTGATATAGTTTGATTATACGCTGTTGCATACCCAGCTTTCTTCGATCGGTGAAATTATTCTTGTTGTTAAAAGCAGGCCTGCGTTCTGTGAGATATACTGACCACTTCCCTTCCCTCCTCTGCACAACCCCAATACGTTTGGGTTCTGGGCTCACATGCAAAGTCCACAAGTTTTTGAATTATCCGAACATTTTTNGGATGAACAACAACTACAACAAATTACATTTGCACTCTGCCTTTCACGCCGAGAGGATGTCCTAAGGCCCTAACTGGATGAGCAGGCATGACTATCCACCGTACTGATGTGCAAATCAGGTGCTCCCAGGTGACCTCTAAACCCTGCTCGCAGCAGACCTAAGATGAGGCATCTGTACCCACAAAACACGCTGCAGGACATGAGAATGACTGTATATTTGTGGGCGAACGGCAGCAGCCAATTGCGCACAGCAGTGTCCCACAAACAGCCGTGGATTGCGGAACCCTTTTCTTTGGAGGGATCATTACCACCCCCCCCGGAAAGTGATCCGCCAATCGAATAACAACCGGATTTCTACTTAATGGTAGGTAAGCAGAGGCGTGTGGAGTAAGGAAACCTGCCTAAGGTTTCGCCCTGCCAGGGAATCAAACCCATGTCCTCTCGCTAGTAAGGCGAGCGCTCTAACCCACTACGATACAGGACTCCTTGCCGTATTATACAGCAGAGTAAAGTACCGAGTGAGAGAGAATTAAAAAAAAGATTTAGTTGAATGCTTCCCAAGATTTTGAACAGGCGGGCAGGCTCCTATGGTTACTCTGTTGAAAGTTTAACTTGGCATTGTAATGTACAACAGCTGTGATCACACTTGCCTTGGGGCTCAAGTAGCTAAACCCACATTCCAGGCTTTGAAACTGGAAGACTGACTGTATGGGACACAGTAAAAACTTGGGAACATTAGAACGTAATGAAGGTTATATATAAAAGTGCCTTGGGGCACATAAAACAGTTGCTGCACCCAAAAAAAATCTGGTAAGTTAGCTGACATACTGCTCTCGCCCAACCTCAATTCGCAGTGAAAAGGGGAAGACAAGGAAAAAATTTTGTTAAAAAAGGTGAAATAAAGATACTAACCAATTTTACCTTGTGGGAAAGACAAATCCTCAATCAACCCAACTCTTCCATTGCTTGTGGGTCAGTGCGAGAAGAACAGCTTAACCATTGCCCTCCTTTCCCAGAACTCTGAGACACACACAACACACAACACAACAGTTCTCTCCCTCCCTCTGTCTGTCTCTGGCTCTCTGCAAACTCTGCCCAACTTGTTGTTGTCTCAACCCAATCCAGTCGACATTGCCTGCCTTTGCCTTTGCCTTGCTCGGGCCCCCAGCTTTGCTGATCTCTGGCTTCCTTCTCCCTGGCTGCAAAACAGCTGAAAAGAAAAAAAAAGGTCTCAATCTGTGCAGAAGGAGAGAATAAATATAGCCAGATTCTCACTCTCACTCTCTCGCTCTCTCTCCCAGCCCTCTGGAAGCAATAGGAGCAGATTTGAGAGAATCCCTCTACTTGTTCTGTTCTGATCTGATGTGTCCTGAGCTGTAATTAACATGCTATTACCACATCATTTCCTCTTTGCACGACTTCCCAGCCCAGACCAGGCACCTAGGCTGAGAGCGAGAGAGCGAGTGGGGGTGGGAATGGGTAACTCTAAACTTTTCAGCCCTTTAAACCAATTAAAAGATCTGATACTCTCTATTCAAATTTCACAATGGAATGCCTTTCCCCTCACCCCCCCCCCCCCCCACCCCCTGCAAACAAACGCCAGGAAGTTGATCCACTTTAACCTCAAAGCTGTCTTCTATTCGCGATAAACAAAATAAATAGACTCCGCTAATTGTAAAGTAATCATAATAATCCTCTGCGTGGGATGGAGCGCCTCTTATCACCTCGGCAAGAGGTCTCCGAGGAGATACTGTAAAGTGGGATCGTATTTTGTGAGCGAAACACAGCAGCCAATTAATTGCGCACAGCAGCGTCCCACAAACAGTTGCGGATTGACTGACCAATTCAGTAATAACCGAGTTCTTACTTTACTGCGAGGTAAACAGAGGTGTGTGGAGTAAGGAAAGTTGCCAAAGGGTTCAGCCCATCTGGGAATCAAACCCGGCTCCTCTCGCTTGTGAGGCGAGTGCGCTAACCACTACGCTACAGGACACCCCAAAGTAAAAGCTCGCGCACGCACTCTGTCATCACGTCTCTAATTGTAAAGTACTGATTCCACACATTGTTGATTTTCAAACGGAACTAACCGAAAATATGTTTTAGTTACACTAAACTGAAAATAATAGTAATAATCTTGCATTTAATAAAATAGTAATAATTCTTGCCTTTGATAGACTTCGAGACGTCTCAAAGCGCTTCACAGAATATACTGTAAAGTGAATTGACTGTATATTTTGTGGGCAAAACATATAGCACCTTATCACATTGTCAAAAGGTCACACAGGATTTAGTGTAAATGGGAGTGACTGCATTTCGTAGACAAAGATGAATGTCACAACTTTCACAACTATTAAATACTCCTTTTACACTTTTGAATGGCTTCGTGGATATAAAGTAAGCAGGAATATCTCAGGGTAAATAAAAATACGACCAAATGAAACATCTCCCTGTTAATAATGAACGCAGGATTTCACGTGTTTTAAATACAGTTGAGCGTTATCCAAACAGTAAAACATTATCACTTTGACAGGCACTTTAAATGCTTTAGTTTGGAGGCCCAGCATCTAAACAAAACACAATTATTCAATCAGCCCTCGCTCCTTTACAAAATAAACAGATAACTGCACCGCTGATTAGGGGTTAGGCTTTGGGGTGGTCTATTGTGTATCGTAGCTGATAGATGCCTCTTTTAGGATTAACTAGTTGCAGTCACTATTCCCTGTAGAGTTTGGCATCAAAAGCTTCCTTTTCGCACATGGGTGATTAATAATTATACTAATAATAATCCTTGCATTTGATATAGCACCTTATCACACCATTGAAACGTCTCAAAGCGTTTCACAGAATATACTGTAAACCGAATTGACTATATCTCGTGGGCAAAACCCGGAAGCCAATTGTGCACGACAGTGTCCCACAAACCGTCGGGGATTGATGTGACACTGATTTATTTCTTGAGGGGTTATTGTCCCCAGAATGCGATCCACGAATCGACTAACAACCGGGTTCCTACTTACTGCTGGGTAAACAGAGGCGTGTGCGTGGAGTAAGGAAACTTGCCCACGGTTTCACCCTGCCCGGGAATCGAACCCGGGTCCTCTCGCTTGCGAGGCGAGTCCTCCAGCCGATACAGAGTTCTCAGTCCTAATGTGGGGCTTGAACCCACTCCAATTAAACTTTTAGGGTTGAAATTCCTGCTTTATCAGCCAGTGGAATTTAGCCCGTTAATGCTCTAGTCTAAAGCTACGCTCTTGCCATCTGAAACCGATTCATCTTTCTCAGAGTGACAAGTTGAGGCAAGGGAATAAACAGTGGAATTTTTCCATTTGACGAGCTGTATCAAAGGCAGATGCTATCAGAAATTGCATCACAAGGGTACAAAGTTCAATTCTCTGTTTAATTCCATTTCCTGTCTCGTTTTGCTCAACTGTCATGAAATCTTTTTTGAATTGCCCAAATCTTCAAAAACCCTCCTCTTATACTGTCTTCTCAATAACCTGGAGCGAAAGAAACAGTTAATTTCAAAAGCAATTCATTTCCTTAACATGTGGTATGTATTCCAAAGTTTAATGATTGCCCTTAACTGTAGCTACATAAGGCCGTACTTTCAATTATTATTGTTACAAGAAAAACATTGGATCTAATTTAAGTACTGTTTTAAACACAGAAATGTATATACCTGCACTGTATCCATGTATAATAATAATAATCCTCGCATTTACTACAGCACCTTATCATGTCTTTCAAAGCGCTTCACAATATAGACTGTAAAGTGAATTGACTATATATTTTGAGGGCGAAACTATGATATGGAGAAAGATGAATTCCTTTACAATGTACCACTTGACATAATCTGATGTGCTCTGAGATCCCAATCAATTTTGTATCATCGTGTAGCTTGGAGCCAGGGGTCAAGAAATACACAGAACTTGGTAACCCAATTAAAAGTAGCAAAGGATTATAGTCCGTAATCTAAACTTGGAGTTCAGATATCTTTCTAAATTGTGCAAACATTGGTCTTGCCATTAATTAAGTCACCTGAAACTGGCAATTGGATTACGGTCTTGTAATCCATTCTACACACCTTGTATTCTCTTTATCACGGTTTACGTTTATTGAAATCTGCTGAAACATTCCTGATTTCCAAACTGCTTTACTGTACGAAGGAGACCTCGAGAAAGAAGAAAAAAATGGTGGGCTTGTCAAGTTGTTCGCTGAAATGGTTTCTTTAAATCCTTACGTGTACCTGTATCTGACATAAATTAGTTTAATTAAGCACAACAGCATTTGTTTTACACTTAATAATAATAATCCTTGCATTTGATATAGCGCTTTTCACGTCGGGAGGACGTCCCAAAGCGCTTCACAGAACACACTGTAAAGTGAATTGACTGTATATTTGTGGGCGAACGCGGCAGCCAATTGCGCACAGCAATGTCCCACAAACAGTCGTAGATTGAAAATGACCAATTTATTATTGTTTTGGGTTTTGGAGGGATTATTATTAGGCTCTGTGTGGAGTAAGGAAACTTGCCCAAGGTTTCGCCCTCTGCCTGGAATTGAACTCAGGTCTCTCACTTTTAACGCCCTCTAGTGAATAGTGATTAAAATATGCCTTTACTTAGAAACTCACAAATTGGGATAAATGGGATCATTTTAAATGTTTGTGCGGTTAACTTTATGCAAAACTAAAATCACAATGAAATTCATTTGCTGCTGCTTTTTTAATCTCCCCTTTTATCGACGAGGCATCTTCGCAAAATATTAAGAGAGTGGAAGAAGTGGCAAAAGAAAAATCATTTCTACTTTGCACCACTGAGGAATAAAAGTCAATAATAATAATAATAATTTGATGTAGCGCTTTATCACGTTGTCGATCCGGTTGAACCTCCAAGTTGAACTATTAGCATTAATTGAGTGAATTGAGACATTCACTGATGTTACAGTGATAATAATAATAATATATAATAATAATAACAATAATAATAACAACAACAATAACAACAACAATAATAACAATAGTAATAACAACAACAATAATAACAATAATAGCAACAATGATAACAACAATAATAAAAATAATAACAACAATAACAATAATAACAATAATAATAACAATAATAACAACAACAATAATAACAATAACAACAACAATAATAACAACAATAATAACAACAATAACAACAACAATAACAATAATAATAACAATAATAACAACAATAATAACAACAATAATAATAAATAACAACAACAATAATAACAATAATAACAACAACAATAATAACAACAACAATAATAATAACAACAACAATAATCCTTGGATCTGATTCGCCCCTTACCACGTCTTTGAGACGTCCCAAAGCGCTTCACAGGAAAAAGCGTGAAGTGTAGTGACTGTATATTTTGTGGTCAATGTCATACACCAGGTTGATGGCTCCTCCCCCCATCTCCCCCCTTGTGTGTGTGATTGACAAGACACACGTGACGCAGCAGCGAAGAGGCGGGGCCGAGAATCAAGCCACACCCACCCACCCCCAGCCCCTCCCCCCCGGGCCCGGCCCCGCCCCCCATTGTCATGGTGACCGTTTGGCGTCGCTGTTGCTCGGGGCGACATTGTTGCCACGTGCGTTGCCATTGTAAACAGTGACAGAGGGAGACGGTGTGTGTGGAGTCGGAGACCCTCAGAGGAGCCGCTGGTGAGTCAGGAAACCCCTTCACTCACCCCCTCTTTATGTGAGAGACATGATACCCCTCCCCTCCCCCCCCTCCCCTCCCCCCCCCTCCCCCCCCCCCCCCCCCCCCTCCCCCCCCCCCCCCCCCCCCCCCCTCCCCCCACCCACTCACCCCCAACCCCCACCCACTCACCCCCACCCACTCACCCCCAACCCCCACCCACTCACCCCCAACCCCCACCCACTCACCCCCAACCCCCACCCACTCACCCCCAACCCCCACCCACTCACCCTCAACCCCACCCACTCACCCACTCACTCACTCCCACACCCTCAACCCCCACTCACACTCTCCCCCTAACCCCAACCCCCACCACTATTCCCCCCTTTTCCTTCACTCCTTGACCCCAACCACCCCTACCCCCACTCTTCCCTCTCATTCATCCCCCCCCCCACCCCCATCCCCCCCCCCCCCCACCCCCATCCCCCCCCACCCCCATCCCCATCCCCCCCCATCCTCCCCTCTCCTTCACCTGTTCGGCAACCAAGCGAACAACAAAGCAATTGCAAAGTATTGCAATGAGAACATTTATCTCTTAAAAAGCCAGTGAAGGGGTTGCTGAGGTTTTCTTTTTTTGGTTAAAAAAAAGAAAGTGTGTTGGCAGTGGCGCCCCCTGTTGGCTGCCCTCTGTTGGTGAGAGTGAAACTGAGCCATGGGGCGAAGAACCAGGAAGAAAGTGTTGGGGTTCCCTTACCTACCGCTTGGTCTGCGCTGAGATAACCGGTCTCACGGCGCATCGTAGAAACTTTTCTGCGCAGGGAGGCGTCTGCGCCCAACCACTTAAAAGAAAATGAATTGTAATAACTGGACCTCCGCTTGGCCCCCAAACTACACAAGTCGATTCACTTTACGGTATATTCTGTGAAGCGCTTTGAGGCGTCTCGAAGACGTGATAAAGCACTATGTGGTCCAAGGGTGTACTGGAACGTCAGCTTAGACTTCAGCTGCACCAGGGATGTTATAGTCGTTATATGTTAATGTTACAGTTGATCCGAGCCCCTCAGAGCTGGTGTAGGAAAAAGTCGGGCAGGATTTCCACTCTTGATCTCTCTCCAGTAACATTCAACGCCTCGGGACATCCTCCTGACTTGAAACGTACAATACAAGTGTAATTTGCGGTTTGTTGTTGCTGGAAATGCATATGGATAGATGTTGGGTGAAGACGCATTTGAGCTTAACTCTGACGGCCCCTGTGGTTGGGTAGCTTGCTGACACGAACACTTAACATGTCTCAGGGTCTCACATGAGAAAGAATAATGAGATATTCTGCACTGGAGGGTGGCTAGCGCTCTCGGAATTGTACGGCAAGCAGCAGCTTTCATTTTGGGCCTTCGATAAAAGAGAAAGCTGGAGAGCAAAAGGAAAATAAATGGTGCTCATTTCAATCTGTGATTCATCCGGTGTAAAAATATCTGTCTCAGGTTTGTTTCTCGCCTCAGGGACGAGGAGGGGTAATTGCTGAACACAGCATTGCAAAGTGAGTAGCAGAACGGATGCATCAGTCACTGGTGTTCAATGGTTGATTATCCCTGTGTCCCATTTAAGGCCACGGTCATTCTGCCGTAACAGTGACCTACCTCATCCGTGGTTACTGCTCTCAAATAGCCACTAATATAGTCCTGTATTAATGTATGTGAAAGTGCTGGAACTTACGCCAATTAATAGGTTGTGGAAGTACAGGGTGTCCAAAAAGTTATGATAACCACCCTATTACCTAAAAAAAACATTCTTTAAAACCTATTGGACATTGTAATGGTATCACGACTTGTTGGTTACCCTGTATTATCCACAATCAATAATCTTCATTGCTCACATAACTTAAGTTTTTGTCATGTTTTTATTATTGACTAGATAACTTTCTACGGCAACTTGCCTTCTAAAATTCACCATGTCGTGACTATTATTATTTATTATTATCATCTTTGGATTCTGTTAACTGCGCAAGCCAAAGCCCTATGAATGGGTGGGAGGGTATCCTCACTAGACAAACAGTGAGAAGCTTGTCAGAAAAATCTTCACTGATTTGATCATAATACGATTGATAAAGGGAAATAGTAATTCCATTATGATAAGGAGGAGCTTTCATTCTCACATAAGGACCAGCTCTTGTAATCTCCCCCTCTTTAGAAAACCACATACAGTAGTTCAGAATATATTTTAAAACTACATTTCTACGATCCAAATCTGTTCCCCGCAGAGACAACATTCGCCTACAAAATACACAATCACGACACTTTACAGTAAATCCTGTGAAGTGGTTTGAGACATCCTCTAGACTTCTTTTTTTGGAAAGCTACTGTACTTGAGTTCAAGGACGTGAAAGAGGATTATAGCAGACTCTTCTGTACCCACCATTTGGAGGGAGGGGGGAGGATGACGAAGAATTCTTCCAGTCTCAAGCCGCATCTTAATTTTAAATGTTCTAGTATTCACACACGTATGTTCTTAAGATGCAGTTACGTATGTCTCACCTGCAGTGTACCCAGAAGCATAGTGTAAATAGTCTGGGTATTTCTGTTAGATTCATACCACTGTACCATTTACACTTATACTTGCGAATTTCATCCAATAGATGGCAATAACAACTACAGCAAGAGGCAAGGCACCATTTTGAAGGGCCACTAAACCACTGAGTGAAATATACAGGCTGGTTGGCTAAGTTTGGTCGCCTAACTAAAACGAAAATATAGATGGGAATGTATTTAAGGAAAACCTTTTTTAATCCTGAAAATGAGCAGCCTTATCTCTTACGTACGCACTTCATCGGCAGTGTGTTGCGGAGAGATACCGAGGCTGGAAAATAACTGAGCAATTCTCTATCCAGTGGGATTGTGGGACTCATCATGCTAAAAAAGCTTTCCTGGTGAAATACAAAGAGAGTAGCATTATGTCGGACGATTTAGCTTCCTACCATGAATTCTGATGTCACTGTCACGCTTTTTACGATCGAAAATTCTCACTTCACAAGGAAAATGTTTTGTTCATTACCTGCAGACACTAGAGGGCGGAAATTCTGGTCCACATCAAAAGAAGCGACATTAACAATATCGGCATTTAATGGAATTTCCCTATTTTAATATTTGAAACGCTGGGCAAGTTTCCTTACTTACTCCACACGCCTCTGTTTGCCTTGCAGTAAATAGGAACCCAGTTGTTAGTCGATTGGTGTATCACTTTTCTGGGAGTAACAATTCCTTCCCCCAAAAATTGTTTTAAAAAATCCACGACTGTTTGTGGGACGCTGCTGTGCGCAATTGGCTGCCACGATTCGCCCACAAAATACTCAATCAATTCACTTTACAGTATATTCTGTGAAATACTCTGAGACGTCTCTAGAGGATGTGATAAGGTGCTATATCAAATGCAAGAATTATTATTATTATTATGCATAATGCGTCATCTTGTGGCAGGTAAAGTGCAGGACTCATGTGACTATTTAAAATTGATAGAAGTATATGTGTTTTGTGAACAATAAAATAAAGATGTTTATTTTGTGTAGTTCTAGGCTGACGTATCGTCAACTGAGGGAGAATAATGAACGACAATAAAAGACACGAGCAATCTAGTAGGTAGATTTGCAATTCAATGGAATATATATTTATTTCAGTGTCATTAATAGGATGGAACAATGTGAATGACTGCTTTACTATGAAACTGATATCACTCTGTCATTATTCATATTACACAATCACCAATGCAAATTCCCACTGTAATATTTGCTTCATAAACCAATTATTAATGTCTTCATCATCGAAGTATTCTCCGATTAACATATTTTGCTCATTAGGCCTCATTTATATATTCATTGTATGGTAATCTTAACAAAGACTGGAAGGGAACATTCAATGGAATGCAAATCTCCAGCAATGTTGAGTATATGGACTCACAGGAACAGGAATAGGTCGTTCAGCCCCTCGAGCCTGTTATGCCATTCTTGCAGATCATGGCTGATCTGCACCTCACCTCCAATTACCCGTCCTTGAAGAAATTGCAGCTAGCTGGAGAATCTTCACGTCATGAAATGAGCCTTTATAAATCAGACTTAATTCAGACGATTATCTTTAAGTTTTTACGTTTAACGTCCCAAATACATTTGCTTGACAGTTTTCATGTGATCGGTGAAACAAAATCTGCCTATTTACAGAATACTGCTGACTCTATTAATCAATGTTAACATTCATTTTAAAATTCTGAAAATCAGAACATTCCAGCATTTTGCACTGATACGATTATAAATATCAAAGGTTTTTGCCAGAAAATACAGATGTTTTTCTAACATCTTGAAGCCCTCTGCAAATACTCAGAAATGAAGGGGATGTTTTCACTTACAGTACGTTTTTATAATGAGAAATTTTTGTTGCGTTCACACAAACATTGGAACAACACAGCGAAACATCTATAATCCACTATAATGGAAAGGAGGATTGAACTGCAGGCAGTGAGCTTCCACCTAATTGTTTATTTAATGCAAGTTAAAGCTGGACTCAGTACAGGACACCAGCAGAATTGGCTGCTTAACCAAATTTATACTGTACTGTTTTTCATAGCATATTTTCAATGAAAAGGGGCATTTTTAAGGCCAGTATAAATAAATATTTCTCCATGTAGCTGCTGAAAACATCATCAATGGTTTTATAAGCAACATACCTGCTCCGTAATGTTCATCAAACAACCCATTACATGAAAAAATATGCTGCCATTGTGCAGCACATCAAACAGTGTTAAATTCACAAGGATAGGTTTGAAAGGCATTTAAAATGATGAGTAACATAGCTGATGCAAAAACAGGCTATTTAACTAAGACCAAGACACCAGAACTAAAGGATGAAGATTTGAAATATAGAAGCCTCAAGCGGGGATTACACATTGGAAAAAAAAATGTTTCCCCACACAGAGAAGGGAATATAATAATAATAATAATAATCCTTGCATTTTATATGGAGGCTTATCACGTCTTTCAGATGTCTCAAAACGCTTATAAATAATAATCCTTGCATTTTATATGGAGCTTTATCATGTCTACGAGACGTCTCAAAGCGCTTCACAGGATATATTGTCAAGTGAATTGACTGTATATTTTGTGGGCGAAACGCAGCAGCCAATTACGCACAGCAGCGTCCCACAAACAGTCGTGGATTGAAGTGACCAAATTATTATGTTTTTTTTTCTTGAGGGATTATCAGGCGTGTGGAGTAAGGAAACTTGCCCAAGGTTTCACCTGCTGGGAATCAAACCCAGGTCTCTCGCTTGCGAGGCGAGTGCTCTAATCATTGAGCTACAGGACTCCTTTATATGTGGAACAGACAGTTAATGCTGCGTTGATTTAACTGATTCAAAAGAATCAACTGGATGGATGTACAGGTTGTGAATCAGAGACATGAACAGATTGATAGCTCCTGTATAAGTCCTATCTTTTATTTATTTATATTTAACCATTTGTATCATGCTGTCATGGCAGGTTGATTCCCAAACAGAATAAATGTTAAAAAAAAACACCTTACTTTTCATTACCTAGACATCTGGTACTATATATCGAATGACAAATGTGTCCGATTCCCTCTGTCAGTCTTGCATTAGAGTTTCCATGCCTCGGGAGATCTGGTGACAAGGATTTTGCGTGCATTTTTCCATGTGCTGTGTGGCTGGATTGTTCTGCTGGAGAAGGTTCTGCATCTAATAATCCCAGGTAGTGTAAAATACTACCTGGGTGGAAATGTGGGCACTTTCCATTGCGTTTCAGTAAAGGAATGCATCTCTGTTTTCTGGCATTCAAGGGAGGCTTATAGACTCGTCAGTGGATTCAAAACAGACCTTCAAAACACTGGAACTTTCTAATCTATAAAACAGAAACCCCTCATCCCTGTTAATAGCAAATAATCCAATGGTTTTAAAGCTTTGCAAATTCCCCCCTAAACCAAACTCATCAGCAAAATCCATATTTAGCAACATTATTTAAAGAGGTTGGATTTTTGTAGTGAATTGTGCTTTTGTGGGTAGGTAAGAGAGCACTAAACCTGAGTCTCAGGCTGACCACTTAAGATTTCATTGCTGAACCTGGCCCTGTCTTCATGCAACATACATCTCTGCCCTTTCTGTAAGAGGATATTGAACAGTGATCATTAGTGGGAACTTGGATTGATTTTTGCTTTTAGTTTAAACCATCTGAGACTAGTTAGAGTGTCCCTATTGCTGCTTACAGTGAGATTGAAAATTGAGTGCAGACTGAAGATTAAAATCAGGATCTTCAAGATCTTATTAGTTAATTTACGCACTTGGGAAACTCTGTAAGTGGACCAATTAACAGGAACAAATGAAGGTGAAAGGTCATCTAATTTCAAGACAGATTACTTTTCCATTTGTCAATATGTAAGTGCGCCAAAGAGCGATTATAACTTGTTTTCTTTAAAAAGAAGTTCCTTCTAAATATGCCTTTTTTTTAAAATCATAGACCGGTTTAAGCATTCCCTACATATAAAAGAAGACTGTAATAATACAAACACCAACGGGGTTTCTAAGCTACGTCAAACCTCACATATCCCCGGTCTTGGCAACATGACGACCACAGAGGAGAGATATCGAGGACGTCGAACTGGGATCCATGACACAGATTCTGACTATGTGAAGTTGGCCAAGCGAGGGGGTCTGTCAGGTGAGTGTGTCTAGCCGTGAACAGCGAGTAAGTGTTGGCGCTACATCAGTATTCAAGAGCAATGTGATCAGCTCTGTAATGGAGTATTAATTGAGACTAGGGTGTGGTCTAACTGGTGGAACATGGAGGGGTGAGGAGGGGAATTACTGGGTGGGATGCTACATTGTTGGAGGGGCCATCCATCTAATAAAACATTAAACCAAACTCCCACTTGTCATTTCTGGTGAATGTTAAACATTCCTCATCACTGAGAGAAGAGAGTCTTCAGAGGCCAGTGTCCAGGCCAGATGCTATTGGTCATATACTTCATGGCTGCTTGCGGGACATTGGCTGCCATGTTTGCCTACAAAATATACTGTCACTACACTGAACAGTAAACCCTTAGAAGCACTTTGATACTTTCTCTTGATGTGAAAGGTCCAAAATCAAATGTAAGGATTATTTACAGAAACAATGAGGTGTTTTGACATGTTATTATTGGCCTAGAGAGTGAGTTTCCGTATAATTCAGTAACAATAATGCTATGAAATAAAACAAAATGGGTTGAATACTTGTTTGCTTTACATCAGACCTACTCACATTCGATGGGTCTCCATTAAAGTCAACACGTGGGTCCTCCAGAAAACCAGGCTGGTTGACTCCTGAAACAACACTCCAAGAAAGCAAACCGTAAGTCCCTGTGTAAGCACAGGCCACATTCAACAGCAACATATGAACACTGTAAAATATAGAACTAAGATAAATATTTTAATTATTGAATATTATAGTACATCATTGTTGCTAACAGCAAATCCACGTCATCAGCATATTTTCCCAAAGTCACACTCATTGGACAATAGATCACATCCAGCTAATATTTACTAGCGGAATCCAAGAATGACAGGGATGATAATATCTTGAATTGGGATTTTGGTGCAGTCTCAAAGAAGAGTGATAGAAATGATTCCATTAGTTATAATTGTGCGCCGTAAGGAGAAATTCGCAGAACTGACATATATTTGGGGGGAGAAAAGAAGATGGGGGAGGGGGAATAATCCAAATATTTAAAATAATGCACCATATGTTGCAGATAAAAGAAGCTGTTTGACCCAGAATAGAATATGCTTTGAAAAACATACGAGCCTCTGGCCAGGCTGCAGATTGGAAGAAACATTTTCTTTTCACTCCTTGCCAATACTGTATTAATTAACTGCTTCATCTAAGGACTTGAATAAATAGCTGGATAGACATAGGCCCGAGGATTACAGGGAAAGGTATAGTTTTGCTCGATTGACTTAGGAAAACAAATGCCAAACTTCCTCTCTAGAGATGGATTGTTAGGCAGGAGTCTAGAATATTGTACTTTGTACTTGATCTAACAGAGGAATTGGGTTTCCTTGCCAAATGGCTTTTTTTCCCCACTCGATTTCTTATAAACTTGCCAAAACTGCAATTCCACAATCTCTAGGACATTATAAAGCATTGATTAAAATAATGTTACATTTTGCATAAATATCTTGGTTGGCACAAGAATTAAATGTAAAGACTCACAATTTTTTTTGGCATAAGCTACCAGAAACTCACGAGTGTACATGTCACAAATGTTTTTATAATGTGTATACACTAAGTTCTTGTATACGTCATGCCTTTCCATTCTCACAAGTATTAATATGAAGCTACATCTACTTTATTGACTGTGACCTTGTTTCACCATTGGTTTGTTTCAAATACCACAGGATTGGTAAAACTAGCAGGTAATACAATGTGATACATCTGTTGTGGCATGAAATACTGGCAATTGATTTCCATTACGACTGCTTATTAATTAATTAATGTAATGTATTTCAGAGCTCCGATTGTACTTCTATCACAGGTTGCAATGAAAGAAACTTGATGGACGGTGTAAATTGCCATCTAGAGCATAGTTTTAAAAAAAACTCACAGTAAGAATAAGCAGGACAGCTCATGTTTGTAACATTGAAGTTGTGAGAAAAGTGCTTGTGACTTCAATCTCTCAGAATGCACGTCTGGGTGTGGAGGAAGGCAGTGAACAAAGGCTGAGGTGCTTTCTCACAGGGAGGGAGATTTGCATATGCTCGGGACACATTCATACTCCTTTTGTATTTCAAGTTAAAAGTGAAGTATAAATCCAGTTTAGGGCAGCTATTCGATTCTGAATACCACTGAATCAGTCCTTTGGAGTGGGGGGTGGGGGGGGGGGGGGGGGGGCAGGCTGCAGTGCAAATCAGTTTTTATTGCAGCTAATTTAAAATCATCTTAAAATACTTTTCAAATTAAAATAAGGTTCAAAATTCTTTGAAAGTGCATGGCATTGTCCTTAAACATTTTCTTTTTTCTTTCTAGCCAAGAGTGATTGTTTTTCTTTATAAATAACATCAGTTACCTATGTGTAGTGTAGACCCCAGTCCCCTGGCAAGTATAACTCAAAAGTTTCAGCTCCAGTTTGCTCTACAGAGGAAGGCAAAATATCTCATTGCTGCAACGAGGTATAATAAAAGCAATGAAATAATGTTAACAGGTTCAAAATATTTGAACTGCTCAAGTCTGTTGTTCTGATTTCTAAATATGGACCATTCGAAAGTGAATGGTAATGCAGCTGTACTTGTGCGCAATAAGAGGTGTTGCAACAGCTAATGTGGTGGAATTGTCCCACTTGATGTTGATATTGTCCCACTTACAGGAGGGCTCCAGATTACATGTGTCACGATGAGGCCTCCAATATAAACGAGAATGGAGGCGACCAAATCTCACTTGCCCCAGTTGTACCAGATGAGAAATGCTCACAGGAAGAGGAAGAGTGTTTAGAGGAATCAGAAAACAGTAAGGTGAGGTGAAAAACTTGAACAGGAACAACAAGAACAAATTACATTTAATGACAACAACTTTCACTTATACAGCGCCCTCCATGCAGGGTGGCGTCTCAGAGCACTTAACGGTGGCGGAGCCTGACTCCAAGCTGTTGGGGGGAGGTGGCTGTAAGCATGGTCGAAAAGGAAGTTTTTCAGGCAGGACTTGAAAAAGGGGAGAGAGGGGGCAAGGTGGAGGGATTGAGGGAGAGTGTTCCAGAGTTTGGGGCGTAGTGGCTGAAAGTGCAAGCTCCGATGGTGGGGCGGAGGGTGTGAGAGACGATCAGGAGCCCGGTGCCAGTCGAGCGGAGGCGGAGGGTGGTGGATTGGGGAGTGAGGAGACCGGAGAGGTAGGGAGGTGCCAGGGAGTGAGTGGATTTGAACATGAGTGTGAGGATCTTGAAGTCGATCTGTTTTGGTGATGGGGAGCCTGGGCCAGAACTGGTGAGATTTACACGGCGTCTTTCATGCCAGGAGGACATCCCAAGGCGCTGGACAGTCAGGGATTTGAACCCAAGCTGGGTGTTGAGGGTAGCGATGGTTGAAGGCACGGTCGAAGAGTAGGGTCTTGAGACGGGCCTTCAAGGAGACAAGAAAGGGAATTAATTTCCATGTTATCTGTAAATGTTCTGTTGTGATGTGTTGTGTTTAGTCAGGGATTCATGATGCAGCTAACAAGAGACAGAGGGACAGGAATCTTCCACCACAACTTCAGATGGAAGCCATGACCTTAGCTTCTCAAGAAAACCAAAGGGAACTGCAACCCTCCATATCATCCTTGTCATCCATGTAAGTGCTAAATATTAACATTAAAGCAAAACTCGCACAAGTCTGATCTGTATAAATCGCCCAATTCCCGTTCAAGAGTATAATATTCTATGCAGGTTTGACATAACTCATACTTTAACTGTATGGTCCCAACTGATAGAACTTATGTGAGGTTTACTGCAGTATTTTAAAGGTATCTATTAGAATGTGTGTTACTGTACACGGTAGCACTTAGGATATCTGAACAACAGTTGGTAAAATTAATTAGAAAGCTAAAGTGTTAGGTTGCTCTGTTTTCCCTGGAATCATTTCCAAAGAATATAAGAGCAAGTGTTTTATTCTTGAGACTTGGTGTTCCACTGAGTGAGTTGTTCTCGTCAGCCATGCTGCTCAGAGGACAGTTGAGGCACTGTCCCTTCATAGAATTATACAGCACAGAAGGAGGCCATTCGGCCCATCGTGTCTGTGCTGCTCTTTGAAAAGAGCTTCCAAATCAACCCCATTCCCCCGCTCTCCCCCCATAGCCCTGATCAACCCCACTCCCCCGCTCTCTCCCCATAGCCCTGATCAACTCCACTCCCCCGCTCTCTCCCCATAGCCCTGATCAACCCCACTCCCCCGCTCTCTCCCCATAGCCCTGATCAACCCCACTCCCCCGCTATCTCCCTATAGCCCTGATCAACCCCACTCCCCCGCTCTCTCCCCATAGCCCTGATCAAACCCACTCCCCCGCTCTCTCCCCATAGCCCTGATCAAACCCCACTCCCCCGCTCTCTCCCCATAGCCCTGATCAACCCCACTCCCCCGCTCTCTCCCCATAGCCCTGATCAAACCCACTCCCCCGCTCTCTCCCCATAGCCCTGATCAACCCCACTCCCCCGCTATCTCCCTATAGCCCTGATCAACCCCACTCCCCCGCTATCTCCTCATAGCCCTGTAAACTTGTCCTCCCTATATCTGAAGCCAAACCTAAAGGCAAATCGGAGCTTTTTAAAGGGCTCCCAAATGCCTCACAGGCACATCTTACAGCGAGTTCTGGAGTGACATGGTCAGTTGCCTGGAGCACACTGGCTCCTCATTCCATGGGCTGGAGGTAATTGATACATCACATGAGAGATCTACAAAAAGAATATGGAGTGAATATATTGACATGTACAACTTACACAATAAATTACTTGCAGAATTTGCTTAATGCTGTATTCATTTCTAAAAAGATTTAATCCAATACGATAACTCAATTCCTGTGATTAGTTACAGTTCTTTTTGTGATGCTCACAAATAGGTTCTATTTGGATAATAAGAAAAGGCAAATCGATTGCATAAATTCTGCTGTTGGGAAAGTGAGACTGTAATTTTCATTCAGTCCAATGTCCTTGTTAATAATAATAATAATAACAATCCTTGCAGTTGATATAGCGCTTTTCATGTCTTCTCAACGCCCCAAACGCTTCACAGAATAGACTGTAAAGTGAATTGACCGAATATTTGTGTGTAGCCAATTACGCACAGCGGTGTCCCACAAACAGTCATGGATTGAAAATGACCAATTTATTATTGTTTTGTTTTGGAGGGGTTATTATTAGGCGTGTGAGTAAGAAAACTTACCCAAGGTTTCGCCGCCTGGAATTGAACTCAGGTATCTCACTTGCAAGGCGAGTGTTCTAACCACTGAGCTACTATTAATTATATTAATTATAATTACTGAGTAATCACTCAGTGGAACACCAAGTCGCAAGACTAAAGCACTTTTCTTAAATTCTTTGGAACTAACCACTGCCTTTTTCAGATCACGTTGTCTAGGTTTGTTGTGTTGTTTTATAAATCAATAACCTCAGTTAAAACAAGCAAGCAGAATCTAGAACTGAATATTTTTTTTAAATTAATCTTCAAAATGGATTTGGTCATGAATCTATTCTCTATTCAACCATTTTCTGAAAAAGTAAAAAAACATATTTAGCTCTAAGATTCTGTTCCCTTGTTTTAAACAACAACAAAAAATTCTCTCCAGAAAGCATAATATACTGATACGAGGAGGGTAATATCCCAGCGTTTCCTGACTGATTGCATAACTACATATATTTGCATTATTAGTTCATGCCCTAAGCAGGCATTACATTTTCATTAAAGGGGTATTGTCTTCATGAACCATTGTTGGACCCCATTTGCTTTATTTTAGGAGAGTGAAGAGCTGTGAGCAACTTTTGCCAAATTGACATCTGTGCACAATGGGTCACAATGACATCTGAATATTGGAGACATTAAACTGTGCATTTATCAAACCTTGAGATTTATTGACAAACCCAAAATCTATTATCGTTGCTTAAATACTCCATCTAATAAAACACCATATTTTGCTCAGTGCCAGGTCAGTGCGAAGAAAGGAAGCCCCAGTCAGCATGCAAAAGTTGCTTAGCTTTGGCTACGCGGATGATTGGTTTTTGGAGCGCAAAGATGTGCAGAAGCCTAAAGATCTGAATACAGGTACTGTATCAAACAACACATACTGTAATTGTGATTGGCTGTATTCACTAACTGGACCAAATTAAAAGCTCAATTTATAGAGGTACCTACAACAAACAACTGGAGTGAGCGGGGATCCCTAGGAAGACGGTGGAAGCAGAATAATCCTTACATTTGATATAGATAGTCTTATTCGAGATGTCTCAAAACACTAGATAGATTTCTGTTAGGACATAATATCTCAATACAGCATATAGTTTGGCACATGACTTGTGCATTCGGCTGCCAGGATGGTGGAAGGTGAATTGGATGGACCTTGCTTGGCCTTCTTTCGTCCAGCAATTCTTCTGTTCTTATGGAGCGTAATTTAGCTCTAGGGACCACACGCTGAGAAGGATTCTAGCTGGCACTTCTGCACTATCTTCTCAGTAGGAAACCGGACAGCCAAGAGAGTTCAGTCTAATATAAATGTGAAAATAATACAGCCTAGCAAATTAAATGTACAGTCTCTAGGCAACACTGACTCTAATGCAATAGGCATTCTGATGTTCCACTCAAAAAAGATTTAATCTGCTTTGCAATTTATTTTTTTTGATAGTATCTTCCAGATCTGACTAGCATTGGATCCCACATGGTGATTCCTTATTCTCTGCAAACCTGGAACCTACGCTTATGCAGTACACTTGCTGTGTGTGTGCATGTGTGTGCCTAAAGAATTTGCTTTGTGCACACTTGACACAATTACTCCCAACCAATAATTTTGGTGGTTATCTATTTGTTAGACTACATTTGAATATCGTTAGAAAGATGAAACATTTACAATTGGCAATCCCACATACATACAACTCCTCTCTCAGTGTTTCTGCCACAGACTCCCACTTTGTGAGTGAGTATAAGCAATATGAAAGAGGCAGAGATGTCATATGAAGGATCTTGCAGGATTCACTTCAAAAAGGACATGAGAGTAAGTAAAGGCAGAGAATAAATTTGTACAATAACAGTTTAGTCAGTTGGGGCTCTGTCGTTTGTACATGTTAAATGGCTTTTGCTTTCATCTTCAACGCTGCTACGACTTCTTGCAAAGGGTTCTGAAATTTAGCAATATGACAAAAGTTGAATGGCTTTTGGAAACCACCCAGAACCCCCAAACGAGTTTTTGAAAGAGAGTTCCTGAGGAAACACCCAATTCTTCTTCACATTTGACAGGAAAAGGTTAAGGCAGAGAAAAGATTATAAATCTCCTGTAAGCATCCAAAAAAAGTGACACCTCAGAGGTGGGGGAATGGGCACCGTCACTCATACCAGATCCAGGCAGTGACAGGTACATGGCACATATAATGCTGTGTAATCTAATTCCCTCATCAATGTCTATGCTCTGCTCCCTCTCCCTTCACATTGCTGTCATTAACACAGCCTTGACCACTGCAGGCATTTATATCCAAATGGCATTCCCAACACTTTTGAAGAAATGGTTCTTTCAAACCTCCGCCAGTTTGGGTCGTTCACTTAAATAAACCCGGAAAATATTTCTGGATGGCTATGTCTACGTGAAAATGCCACAAATGTAATGACTCCTCGCAACTGTGCTCGGCAACTGTCCTGGTTATATTATTTTTACTGAATAAAGTTGGCTGTGTTCATCTGGATTAATTATTTCACAGAACTATATCCCTGGCAATAAAGGTAACGACTTTCGATTTGTGTTCTACCCCAAACAATTATTAAATAATATTTGTTCTGAATATATTGCATGTGCTTATCCCCCCTTCTCTCCCTCTCCCCCCCACCTCCGGCTCGGGGTCAGACTCTACCACTGTCAAGTGCTCCGGGATGCTACCCCACGTGAAGGGCGCTATATAAATGCAAGTTGTTGTTCTTGTGTTGTGAAGGCTGCCCACATTTTAATCTTATTTCAAGACCTTCCTTATTCACAGCCCTCATTTCACATGCTCACGAGTCACACACGTGGGCGCTTAAGGGTTTTGACATCTCACACTATGCATGAAAGCTTCCAACACAAAGCTCTTCTCAAATAATTTTCAGCGAAGCAAAATGATGCATTCCTTTGAAAGCAATATAGATTACGAAGCGTACCAAACTCTTACCTTTGGGTAGAATAAATCCTCTCCATTTTGTCCACTGGGAGTGATTTCATTACAGTTAATATTGCACGACAGACACAAATCTCATCATTGAAAATATCCCAGATTCAAGATTGTAAATAAATATCTCAGAGCTGCCCAGAAATAAAACATAATTTAAGCGCTCTTGTAAAGCTGTACACTTTACACCTTCCCATGAGAATAGATTTTATTCCAAAATGTGTAACTCTCGATCCAAGATTTATAAATGTATTTATTCTCAACGCGGAACAGAGCGCTCCAATCCATTAACCATAAACTATATATCAATCTGTCCCACTCCCGATCTCCTTTTGTACTCCCTGTCTTTAACTCATTGTCTCTTTCTTAATTGCCTTTTAAAGTGATATTCTACAAAATAAACAATCAAGGCAGGCTCTCTACTACCTCAGCCTTTTTTTAAAAAAATGTTTGGGTGGGAATAAATTCTCCCTCCTGACATTTGGTAGGATATTGTGGTAGGAGCTTGACTCTGAGTGACCATAGGCATGGCCAAAGAGGACGGTCTTCAGGCGAGACCTGAAGATGGGGAAGGTAGGGACAAGGTGGAGGGATAGAGGAAGAGTGTTCCAGAGTTCAGGGCGTAGTGGCTGAAAGCCCAGCCACTGATGGTGGTGGCGGAGGGACAAGGAGGAGCCTGGTGATGTAAGGGTCAGCATATGATAGACTGTACTGTCTGTCTGTCTGTTACCAAAACAGTCATTTCCATTTTGTTTAAATACCTCAATACCTGTTAATGTAAAAACTCAAGTATATTTAATAAATAGGCATAACTCTGTAAGCCTAGGTGACTTAAATGCACCGTGTAAGCAGAAAACTATTTTCTTCCTAATTTCAGAGTTTGGTTTCTTTAGAAAACTATTCAGTTGCCGTGGCCAAAGCTGAAGTTACCCCTGAGGAAAATCAGCCCCAAAACAGAGGAAGAAGGACAACTGGTATGAGAGGCAATGGGAGGAATAAAGCCACCACAGAAAATGATTCTTTCTTCAAAATCTTTGGCGAGCACAGGCAAGATACACGTTTATAACAAGGAATCTTTCCTCTTCTCTCCAAACAGTTCCTGACATTTTAGTTAAAGTTGAGGTACAGATCAGCCATAATCCAATAGAAAGGCGGAACAGGCTCAAGGGGCTGAATGGCCTACTCCTGTTCCTATGTTCCTATCTTTAGCTAAGTGGGAGGGGATGGTGGGAAGAAGAAAACAACTAGCAGGGAAATTAACCTCAAGATCTTTTAAATATTTCCTCCCTTTCTGTACTATAGATCTCTCCACATCATTCAGTGGTTAAGGATTGCTCGACCAGCTTCCTGCTACTTGTGCCCTGATCAGTCCTTGGGTGGGCAAACCCACCTGCCACTTTATCCACCTTGTGTTTGCTCCCTGATTAAATCTACTAAACAAAAGGAACTTACTATAAGTGCACGGAAGTCTGTTTCCTACCATTCGTTCTGTGTTGGCTGAAGCCGTAGCCCTTTTCTTTATGAGTTTACAGGCAAATGTATTTTTTCTTAGTTTAGCAAATGTGCCCTCGTTCTCTAACCAGCAGGGGTTATTGGATTTTACAGTAGGAGGAGATCTCATGAAGGAAACAGCATGAAAAACCCACAAGATGGATTAAACAAATTATGACATTTCTCAAATCTGGGGCTAATTTAATTTTATCTCAAACTAACCCAATATTAGAAGAATGTACACGGAAATTTGCCTATCGCTTATAATGACACCCCAGAGCAAGGTAATATCACTCCTGGGGAAATCATTAATTTATCTTTTGTAGTCTCTAAGTTTACATTATTTAATTATAGTAACTATTAATATTATTACATGATAACTGCAGAAATTATCTAATATTTAACCGGAATAAACTCCTTGGGCATTTCAAGGCACAGTTTTATGGAATGCTCAGGGCACAAATATCATACAGACAGACGTGATGGGTTGGAATTAAGCCACAAATGACTTCAGTTACACATTATTTGATCTGGTTAATTATTTTGTAGCATTTCACAGTAGTCATGGACGAAAGTAAAATTAAGTTAGCATTTTAACTTATTTTGTTTTCCTTTGGGTATCTCGCACTAACTCCTCTGCTAACAGTTCAATTTCAAACCCCAAAAGTCCTGTAGTCTGAGAAACATAGTCCCCAGAAATGCAATGGGACTGTGATGTATCATGAAGGAAAACATGCCAGAGATGACCTTCCACCCAATCAGGCAGAAAACCTCAGTAATAAAGCACAGACTATTAGCCAGGTCTTCAACTAGGAGACTCGGAATGCCACGTTGGCCCACAGCAGGGAATTAGAAAATAATTGACTACTTCAGATAGGTATCCAGGACAAAAACAATTGCATCCCCCTATTAGGCTACTGGAGATGTTCACAGACAAACAGGTTGAACGAACACGAGGTCACTGTCCGATGAACCTGAAATACTTTATTTTGGCTCCAACAAGGGGTGGAAAATGCAAAACAGAAATATCTCCTCATAGATAGAAAACGACAACACCTTGCATTTATTTAGCAGAGTAGCGTCCCAGAGCATTGACAGTGGCGGAGCACGATGTCAAGCCAGGAGGGGGGCAGTGGGGAGGTGACTGTAGGCTCGATCAAAGAGGAAGGCTTAAACCTGTAGTATATTATTATCGGAGTCCTGTAGTTTAATGGTTATAGCACTCGCCTCGCAAGCGAGAGGACCTGGGTTCAATTCCTGGCAGGGCGAAACGTTGGGCAAGTTGCCTTACTCCACACACCTCTGTTTACCTTGGGGGTAATAATCCCTTCAAAATAATAATAATAATTTGGTCACTTAATCCACGACTGTTTGTGGGACACTGTTGTGCGCAATTGGCTGCTGCGTTTCACCCACAAAACATAGTCACTACACTTTACAGTACATTCTGTGAAGTGCTTTGCAACGTCTAGAAGACATGAGAAGGCACTATATCAAATGTGAGGATTATTATTTTTATTCTTATTATTAACATAGTTTTATTCTCGCCTTCTAGGTTGAATAGCATTCCCGCTGCAGTGGAGAACCAGATGCAGTCTGAAATTGCTTTTGCCTGAACACAGTGTTGGAGGATATCAAATGACTTATCGCTGAAGCTTGTAATTGCAAAGTTGAGACAACTTTTCTATTTCGGAGTTTAGTAATATTTATCAACCAAATGTTTCTTGAATCACTCAGCAGGATATTTACACACATTAACTAATAAAATAATATTCCTTACTTCACCTTAAAACTTCCACTTTACTGTGACCTGCGTTGTTGAACTATAAGTTACAAATCAAATGAGAAGCATTTAACAAAAGATTGATTTTAAACAAATTCAGTATTTAAAGTGTTAACAATTAACTTACTAGAACATGAAGATTAAACTTATCGGATAGTTCTGTTTTTAATGTATAATTGTTGAATCCGATATGATTTGTACTTTTTGGGGGATTCCAATCATACAAGCAAAATAAATGCTGTGTAAAGATTGTAAAATCTGGACCTTGACTGCTTTATAATTCATCTTTACAAATCCTGGTATTGATCTGCAAAGTATAGATATACTGAACTTTAACGTAAGAAAATGTTGTAAATGATATTTAGCAGAGCTAATGTTTTCGCCCCAAGTATCTAAAATGGTTTAAAATATCTAATTGTATATATTATGTTATCAATTTTGAAATTCCAGTTAAATTCATAATGTTGTGTTTTTTAAAATAAAAATATAATTTACATTCCACTTCCTAAAGTTTAATTTGGTTTTAAGCAATTTCTCTCCTAGATTTGTGAATCAAATCTGGTAAGAGAACAATGCATAATTTAGCATTTTCCTTTAGATTTTATTGAAAAAAGGATACTTGGTATTCTCTCAAAATCACATAGTTTTGACAGAGACGGAGGCATATCTTGGTATCTAGTCTGCTTTACTTCCAGTTCTGCAAAGATTGTAACATGCTTCACGACATTTTTTTCTAAAAAGAATTGGATTCAATTAAATATTTAGAATTTTCTATCCCTCGCCTCGCTCCCTCCCTCCCTTGACTGCTTCAGGGCCTGTCTCAAGATCCTCCTCTTCGACCGTGCCTTTGGTCATCCTCCTACCCCTACCCTCCCTGGCCTTCATCCCTCCTGGTCCCATCCCCCAGCTTGGGTCCAAATCTCTGACTGTCAAGCGGTTTGGGACATCCTTCTGACGTGAAAGGCATTGTGTAAATGTCATTTTTTGTTGTCGTGAGACCCAATCAGACAGCGCAAGTGATATTGTTCCCATCTCTCATACATTTGTTTGAAACGTATGTGTTTGAGGTGTTTTTCGATCAGGGCTGGCTTCAGTTAAGTGCTAGTTTTATTAATGCATAGCGCTGCTAGATTGAGTGTCTTTTGTCGTGGCAGCTTCTCTCTGGGGAATAGGAAAAGTGATCTTTGTTCTCTCGCTTTAGGGTGCCTTTTGTCGACTAATCCTGGGATTGTGCTGTCTAGGGTTGAGCAGTTGTGCAGGACCCAAATCAGTCCACACACCGCTTCACTCTGACAAACTATTCCAATGGAGGGAAAATAAATAGAGGGAACAGTGAGGTTAAAATTACAGGAAGAAAAAGATAAGTCTTATTTATAAATGCAAGTTGGTATTGTTGTAGCTGACTTAGGTTATCAGAAACATTTCTATCTGCAATCAATGAGCAGAAGAACCAATTCTATCCTGTGTGAGATTTCACAGTTCATGAGATAGGATGGCATAATGCAGCTCCTTTTATTCTATTCATTATTTCTCTCAATTTACGAGCGAGGACAATATTTTGCATCTCTTAATGCATCAGTGCTTGTAGGCTTGAAGCTAATTGATTAGAAAAAGAACACTAATAATGACTGTATTTGCCAGCAGTCACAGGAAACTTTACAGTTGGCATTAATGACATTGTGTATTGGATTTCTGGTATTCTAGCCTTTTCACCATTAAATATCATGTTACTTTCTGGAGAGCAAGTTCCTGCGAGACATTTTCTATTCATTTATTTGTGCTTTGCTTTCAAATTTGATGCAATGTCTTGAAAAATAAATGAAGCATCGATTTTATCAACACCTACAAAATAGGTGTTCCTCTCTTTATGTATAGAAAAATACAATACTTGATTCATTTCCAACCTTCCCATGGCACTGTGGCTTAAGCTCTGCATTCTGGCGCAGACAAAGAGAAAAAATCAGCTATTTGGTTTGGGATACAATTTACTTTAACTGAAAAATCAGCGTTTTATCCTGGTCCTAATTATAAAAGCACAAAAGCCAGTGCAACAAGTGCTCTTTCTAAATGTTTCAGAAAGAAAGAGGTGCAGTTAATTCAGTTGCCACTGACTGACATGGCATCACAATTTATTTTATTTGACACATCTATGATCTCAGCTAAGATAACCGGTACAGCACTAATACAGTAATATTAAGGTGACTTGTTGATGGGAGTGAAAGTAAAACTTGATTGTTCCCTTTTGAACAGTACACAAGGCTTGGCCACAGCGTGTGATGAGCAAAAGGGCTGGGAATGTCCCAGTAGGACGGTAGGAGAGTAGGTGCCAAGTATTTCTTTACAAGGAGGAGAGAAAATCAGCGCCACGTCGCCTGGCTCTATCGTGCATTTCCATGGTGCTGTTTGGAGGATGGCTGCCATTTCACAAGCTATCCATTTCTCACAACGAGTAAAGTCAACTGTATAATCCTGATGACATTCTCAGCTATTATATTTGTATTTAATGATCATTTGTGCACTAGTTTTGAAATACTTGTCTAAATTTTGTTTTGAAGGTTGATTAATAATAATAATAATAATCCTTGCATTTGCTCTAGCCTCTTATCACATCGTTGAGACGTCTCAAAGCGCTTCACAGAATATATTGTAAATTTAATTGTATATTTTGTGGGCGAAACCCGGATTGAGTGACCCATTTTTTTTAAGGGTATTACAATAGATCTGACATTAATATAACGTATTTCACTATATAAGTGCAAGTTGTTGTTGGGTGGGGATCTGAGCGGTGGGGTGGGAGGCGAAGGGGATGTCTGAAGATAATATTAGCCTTGACAGTGATCTATCTACATTGAGGATAATCTGCTGGTGTAACTATCTGAGCACACACATGAAGCATAGCTGACAACACGTACTACATCATCCAGTCAATGAAGAATGGCCACTTGCTTGAAGTGGAGGAGGGCAGCTGTAACCCAATGTGAATTAATACTTTCAGGAGACATGGAAATTGAAAAGGGAAAAAAAAATTAAATTACAAAAAAAACTTTCATAAATGTCACCAGGGATCACGTCTATGAAAATGTGAGCTGCTGTCTATTGAAACTTTGCAAAATCTCCTGAGACAGTGAATAATTCACCCTTCTTTCCAGCATTAATTAAAATAGATTAATTCTTCCACTACATCAGCCGAAGAAGACATACACATCCCGGAGTATATAAATAGGCTGAGTGATTTTTTTTTAAACAGTTGGCTTCATTGTCATTCATCAGGAGACACAAGTGCTGCATTCAGTGTTATTAAGTATTTCAAGGTTAATTAGATTTCTCACTCTTTACTTGCATTAAATGCATTTAAACAAGCTACTCAGCTGTCAATGGAGACTTTTGACAACATGAGGCAGACAGGTAATGAGGAGTTGTTTAACTATAAGAGCTAAAGAGATTGTGGTCACATTCCTTTTCAACCATACACAGATCACCAGTAATTGCGGACGGTGTATTGATATGTTCAGTTTGAATCAATTATTCATTCAAAAATAAAATTTGCGTTCAGGAAAACCATGGGAACAAGTTTATGAAGACTAGTTGTCATTGATAGTATCCTAAAGTGTTTTCAAACAAAGCTGTACAATGTTTGAAACGCAGATTCTAGTTAGCACCACAGCAATATCTCTTCCATTCAATCAAAGCACCTCCTTCATATTCAATCGTGGTCACCCTATCGAGCAGAATATTAACCTTACAGTCCCTCGGAATACAATTTATCTCGGATTCCAGATGTGCTGGTTGCTATGAAAAGTAAGGTATGTTTTGTAGACAGGGAAGTAGATGTCCATCACATGAGAAGTCCTGTCCAAAAGGGCAGTGGTAGTCCGAATGGTAGAGTAGATACCTCTCTATTCACGTGCTCAGGAGTCAAGTCAGCTGGCTGAACACTTTATCAATCAAACGCAGAGCCAGGCAGAGAACTATAAAGCAATTTCATGATGTTGAAAAGCACCAAGGAAAAAAAATAGAGAGCTGCAACAACAGAGCATTTGGTGTTGAGCATGCAGAGCAGGTAACAGAAGATAGATTAGGTTTCTCCAGCAGCGAGTCCAGTATTTATTTTTCAAGTCATATTGTGTAGCACAGTTGAACTGGTCTAAAGCTCAGCCAACAATAATTGAACTAACCATTATCTATAATTAATAATAATCCTTGCTTTTGATATAACACCTTATCACGTCATTGAGGCTTCTCAAAGAGCTTCATAGAATATATTGCAAAGTGAATTGTCTGTGTGTTTTATGGGCGAAACACTTTATTATTTCAATTATGTTCTTTAGGTACAATAATCTGTTTTTCAATACCAAATTGTGACTGGCTTATTACCATTGTATTACTTTATTAATTTCCACCTTATTTTTCTCTCTGCAGAAAAACCTGAAACTGAGTTTTTAAAGCTCTGCTTTAGTATAGAAACTCCCACCCATAGCGAACGACTGTTTAGTTACAAATATTATTGCCAGTGGGTAAAGTCCTCAGAAAAAGTAAGCACCTTGAAACACATGCCCTGTGATTGAACATTTCTCTCCAAACTAGAAGGTTCCAAATTCAAAGCTAAAAACATAAAGTCACTTTTACTGCAGTCCTAAAATCAGATCAAATCAGTTTCGCCCCAAAATATACAGTCAAGTCACTTTATTTTACATTGTGTGAAGCGCTTTGAGACGTCTCGAAGACATGATAAGGCGCTGTATAAAATGTAAGGATTATTATTATCTCTGGCCAAAAAAGCCAACATTTTGCTGAAAGAGATTTACTATTTGTGATTCACAAGTTGGAAAGCAGCCTAATCCGTTACTCAGTTCAGGCACTTATTTACACGGTTGGGTTTAGTTAATTTTCGAAAAAATTGTCAAGCAGCCAATTTGTACTGCAGTTAGACTTAAGCTTCTAACACAGAATTTGGTTTATCTGTTATATCAACTCTGGAGGAACAGCAGGAATGATATTTCACCCTTTCTCAAGGTGAGGGAGTCCATATAAATTCTTTGGTTAGTCTTAGTTTTCAACTCACCGGCTGGACTTTCATTTGTGGCTGATTCTGTGATGTTTCCACCAACCCGCCCATTCCTTCCGCTCAGCCGGCTCCGACCTGGTCCACAACCCCCAACCCACCCGGCCCACCACTGGTGGGAGAGCCTTCAGCCACTCTGCCCCCAACCTCTGGAATTCCATCGTCCGATCACTCCGCCTCACCCCCTCCTTAGTCTCCTTCAAGTCCTGCCTCTTCGACCACGCCATCGGTCACCCCCCCCCTTCCCTCCCCTCCCTTCTTCCCCCCTGACCCCAGCTCGGGTCTGAAATGCTGTACACTGTCCAGCGCCTTGGGACGTCCTCCCAACGTGAAAGGCGCTATACAATGTAATCTTGTTGTTGTTGTTTAAACTATATTGGTTTTTGCAACTTCTCAAATAATAATATAAAAGCACAAAACAATCTATAGTTTAAAATAGTTACCCGAAGTAACAAATCCTGCTTTTTAAACCGAAATAAGTAAATTGTCAAATAATAAACACTAATAAATCTAATTTTCACAAATCTACCCACATTTTGACAGAGAAACCCAATACATTTGTCTGTAGTTACAATTACATTCATCAAGAACAGCAAATTACATTTCTATAGCGTCTTTCGCATCGGTCGGACGTCCCAAGGCACTGAACTATGGACCTTAAAGATTTGGAAATATTGTACAGTACATGCGTACGTGAAAATGCTGATTGTCAGATCGGTGACCTGTCAGTTAGCAATGTTTTCATAGTTCCCTCGAATAAGTTGATTCACTGTCCAATGATAGAACTAATTGTCAGTGTCAGAGTTACCTTGTACTCTTTTGAAATCCCTGAAATTGACCTGTGATGGTCTTCCTGATCAGAGTCACAAGAAACAACATAAGTAACCAATAGGGAAAATCCTTAATAGCAAAACATTTCCACAACTATCCAATACCAAACCAGGACCAAAACTGATAAAACCCGGGAGCAGCTGGATGTGGAGAATCAGTCTCGTCCAGAGGCAAGAAACAGCAGGAAAGCCGGGATTCCAAGACCTAATCCAAGTTGAGGCAATTTTTCCTGCTCATCCGTATGTTAACAGCTTCAAGCTGAACCTGTAAGTTGGTATTCCTTTCCATATTTCTTGATGTTAATCAGTTATTGTATGTAAACTCTTGTTTTATTTCTAACTCATTTATTCTTAAATATTCTATTTCTATGGGTTTATTGTTTACTGCTGTTCATGCATGTATTACTTGAATTTTTGTAGCGTATTGAAAACTCCACCATGAGACCGACTTTAACCAATAAACCCGAAGCCTTTGAAACCGAAAAGATTGATGATAAAGAGTGAGTAACACACTGTACTTAACAAACATTGGCATACATGCATCATACTTTAATTCCATCTCGGAAGAGGGGAAAAAAAATCTAAAGGTATTTCCTTCCAGTGAAATAGTAACATTGCAATATGTTTTTTATATATAAAAGTGTTGCAAGCTAAACTAAAGATACTTGCCGCCTTTTTGTCTCCAGGAATGGCTTAGTCAGAGTGATGAACCCTCACTTGGCTTCTATGCCTGAAGATTTTCTGTATCATTTTGCTCTTGGAACAAAAACTCACGACCTTCAAGCGATGTTTGGGGACGTGAAGGTACAAAACTTTTATTTGAAGGGTGGGGAGGACAGAATAAAGCACCTCAAAGATTCTTCTTATTAATAAATAAAAGCGAGAATGCTACGAACTACTTCCTATAATAATAATAATAATCCTTAATAATAATAATCCTTGCATCATTCTGTAATTGTTCTCCTAAAGGGCTATAGGATGCTCTGGGACGCTACCCTGGGTGAGGAGTGCTATAAATGCAAGTTGTTATAGCCGGAGCAAATATTTTTAACCTCTGAATTTATGCATAAAACTGCACTTATTACTTGATTGTGAACATTGATGTTTAACCCAATGTTTTTTCAGTTTGTTTGTGTGGGCGGCAGTGCTAACAGGATGAAGGCCTTTGGACAATTCATACATGGAGAGCTTGGACTAAATGGAGACAGCAGTGACATCAGGGATATCTGTGAAGGGACTGACCGATACTGTATGTACAAAATTGGCCCAGTGCTCTCTATAAGTGTAAGTACACAGGACGTTACAGAATGGTTGACATTTCTAAGAGTACAAATATGTTATAATAATAATAATTAACCGTGCATTTGATAAAGCACCTTATCGCTTCGTTGAGACTTTCAAAGCGCTTCACAGAATATACTGTAAAGTGAATTGATTGTATATTTTGTGGGTGAAATTCCAAGCAGGGACTAAATCCTAGTTACGGAGGCAATAGCATAAAAAAAACTGCTGCTGCCATGTTTTTCTTATGTGGAGGGTGTGTGCTCAAGACAAAAAAAATCACAATCCGTGACTTGGAAATGAGTTAGCACATTCACCGTTGTTTGAATGCTTTGTAATTTTCTCTGAATATGCCAACGGGGCAATATCCTGGCAGCAGTAGTAGTCTCGGGCTTCTTGAGAACCTATTTGATTTGGATCGGCTTTGAAGTGTCCTACAATATCAATATGACATAAGTAAAAGTCTCCAATTACTCCAAAGTCCAGCAATGTTGTACTTGTACTGTATCTTCTGACAAATTACATAGAACCTGACTATGTCTATGACCATGACATTTCCTTGGGTTTGAAGCTGTGTAAAGTAAATAAAAGGGGTAGCGAAATGGAATTAAACTGTACTCACCAGAAACTTGTCTTTATTTGACGGCTGAAATATACTGGTGGCTAAAAGAAAAGCACCAGTGATATGGAATGGTATTCCAGACAAATTGTGTGCACAACCACAACAAATTACATTTGTACAGCGCCTTTCATGTCGAGAGGAAGTCCCAAAGCCTGGACAGTCAGGGATGGCCACCTGAGCTGGGAGTAAGCCAGAATTTCAGGAAAATTCAGAGAATTAGAGTATTAAAAATATTGACCATTTTGGGTGCCATTCTATAGGAAGATAAGAGCAGAAATAAGCCATTTAGCCCTTTGAGCCTGTTCCGCCATTTTATTAGATCATAGCTGATCAATACCTCAATTCCATTTACCTGCCTTTTGCCCCATATCCCTATGTGTAATGAAAAATAAAATCATTATATTTAGTTGATCACATCATAAATATTTGAGGCTGAATTGTGAGTTAAGAAAAGGAGTCTCTAACCAATTTATAGAGCTACTCAACTGTGCAAGTAGTAATTAATTGATGTGAAGCTTGCTTTTGGAAACCGGACAGTATTTATTTATTTAAAAAAAACTTATTTATTTCTCCCATTTGCTTTATTTTCTTGCTTTCATTGTGTGACAAACACACACAAAAAAATGGGCGATTCTTCCCCTATTTTGTCATATTTCTATGGTTCTAAAAGTATAAATCTTAAGCTGAAAACCTTTCAGTGCCGAACAGGTTAAAAAATACTGTCACAAAAGACTTTGCTCCGAAAAGGTTCTGTAACTAAACCTTGAACTCTTATCTTATGTAACAAAAAAAATGCTTTTTCATGAATATCCTTGAAACAAGGGCAAATGTAGACTTTCTAACTTTGTATGACAAAAGCATATTTATTTTACAGTGAAACTGATATTTATAGTCGAATTCCTTCTCTTTTCTCCCACTCCATCTAATTATTTTAGACACATGAAGAAAATACAGGATATAGGGACTCATCAGCACAATAGTTGGTCATTAGAAATTCACTTCATAGCTATCTGTTCAACCTGCTGTGTACAATGGCTGCCCTTTTACCTACAAACACACAATCACTCAGAAAATATAGAAATATAGACAGAAAATATAATTGAGTGCTTTGCTTCTACATTACAGATGCTAGAGATGGAAGGTTCAGTATTACTCTTGTAGCATTGGCTACATTAAGGAATGTAAGCCAATATCAAATGAAATAAGCCAAATGTGTCGTAAGTGAAGAATATAAGTTTTAAACAAATAAAGGCCTAAATGTGGTATGGGGATAGGACAGAGCAGTGAGACTGAATGAACACCTTCCTCTGTGCATTAAATGTTCTCTGTATAATAATAATAATCCTTGCATTTGATATAGGGCCATATCACGTTTTCGTGACGTCTCAAAGTGCTTCACTTTAAAGTATATTCTGTGAAGCGCTTTGAGACATGAAAAGGCGCTTTATCAAATGCAAGGATTATTATTATTTATTACATAATATACTGTAAATTGAATTGACTGTATATTTGATTAATCCACATTTCCTTTCTATTTGCAGCACGGTATGGGTGTGCCCTCCATATCCATCATGCTTCATGAACTGATCAAGTTACTTCATCATGCCAAGTGTCGTGATGTAATTATCATACGAATGGGTACATCAGGTGGTATAGGTAGGTCGAGACACCGTTGTCAGTCAACAGTCTGACAGCATCCCTAATAAATGGGGAAGATGTTCAGTTTCAAATCAAGTGTGAAGCAGTTTCCTAGAGTAAATTAGCATTGAATATTCTAACCCACTGAATCTTGAGTACCTCCTGCCAGGACATCAATACAACTGCGAGAGAAGCAACAAATTTTAAAATTTTGATTTTGGAAATCTACTGCTGCGAGGTGCAGAATCAGTGACTTAACCTTCCAAAGGCAAATGACAACTGGTAGCCTAGCAGTAAAGTGAGGGGAATAACAGTGAAAAAGAAATCACAATCATGGGAATGTCTTATAATAATAATAATAATAATCCTTGCATTTGATATAGCGCTTTATCACGTCGTTGAGACGTCTCAAAGTGCTTCACAGAATCAAGCACCAGAGATATCAGAACCATGGGGCTTGCCTTTTATTGTTATCTCTACTGATGCGGGGAAAACATCTATTGAGGTGGCACTGCCTTACCTTATTTTCCTTCTAGCAGGCTATCATTAAAAGTAGATTTTCCATCTGCTCCAACACTACAAGATTAATGTGACATAAAATGTCCAAAAGCCCTGTTCGGGATCTGAAAGCAATGATTTATACTTTGGACGTCACTACGGAAACCATAAAAAGCAACTGAACATGCAATAGAGAGTCAACAAACACTGAGAGCGAGACTGAGAAAACACAGAAAGACTCATTTGGCTTTTCACTATATAAATTGTGTTTTTCTTCTGCTGTAGGGCTGGAGCCTGGGACTGTGGTTATTACTGGTACAGCGGTAGATTCGTTCTTCCAACCTCAATTTGAACAAATCATTCTCGGAAAAGTTATTACACATAGCACAGAACTGGATAAGGATCTCGCACTGTTATTGTTAAACTGTGGCCAGGAGATTCCTGACTTTCAGACTATCATTGGAAACACCATGTGCACCCACGATTTCTACGAAGGTATACAAATCACAATACTTGTCGTATATATGTTTGGGAATCCGTACTAAGCAGAGAATCGTTTACATAAAATATTTTTCAAATCAAAGGTTTTTTACCCTCCGGAATTCCATCCCGAAGTCCCTTCTAGTCACCTCTCCCCTCGCCTCCTTCAGCATCCGCTTCAAGATCTTCCTCTTTGACCACATTTTCAGCCATCTTTCCCCCCTTGTACCCCCCACTAACCTCATTCGGCCCCCACCCCCAACTCGGGTGCAATCCTTAGACTGTCCATCACCTTGGGACGACCTTTCAACATGAAAATCGCTATACAAATGCGAATTTGTGTTGTATTGTAAAGATAGCACACTTCCAGACCTCTGAGAGCAGAACAATAAATTACTTTGTTTTAATTGAAATTTCTCAGATGAATTACTTTTCCCAAATAAGTCACAAGTTGCTAACACACAATATTGATTATTTGCTTTGCCGCAGGACAAGGGCGTTTAGATGGGGCTTTATGCTCATTTTCGAATAAAGAGAAGCAGGAGTACTTGAAAAACGCATATGAAGCTGGTGTCCGAAATATCGAAATGGAATCTGCTGTGTTTGCTGCTATGTGCCACAGATGTGATCTAAAAGGTAATTGTAAACTCTGATGGACTAGAAGACAGTACATGCAAAATTAGATGACAAATTTTCTATACGTTGGGTTATAAAAATAAGGGAATTAAAACATTAAAGGCAGGTTTGAGGTGATTTGAAACGATGATCACTAGATTTTCAATAAACAGTATGTTTCAAAGAGGTTCTATTTGTTTGGATATCTTGGCGTTTCTTTGCGTCTCATCTATTTAATCTACTGAATAAGTATTTTGTTTATATCGTCCAATAGATATCTTAAAATCAATACTTTAAGACAAAACAGGACTATTTTTTCCCTCTAAACATTCTGTAATGTTAGAGAGATGTCACTGCTATCTCCTGAGGTCATTAGCAGCACCAATGACGTGGTTTCCATGGGTACTTCTGATAGCAGCTTTGGACTTGCATCAGAAACAGTTAAATCTTCTGGCAGCTGCCATGTAGATATACCCTGACATTGATAAAAGTATGGCATGCAAATAAAGTTTTACAACTTGTAATTTAAAAGCTACTGACAATGCTCAGGCTTGCCTTGTTCTGGCGTTTGGTAATTTTGTCCCAAAAAATAAAGGAACATTTCTCGTAACCTGAGCCTGTATTACAGAACCTAGAATGGATTTGTAATATAAATATGCATTTGAAGGCATTCTCGTATATAATACACAATATCACATCACATACACAATATACAGGTATAAATTATTGGGAGCATAAGTTTATGGAGGACTTACATTTTCTACAAGGTGAATTATGAATTTGAAGATCAGCAAATAAACACTTTAAAACGATCTTGTAAACATTTATTTTAAGGGGGGGGTTGAAAAAAAAACTATTTTTTATACGTAGAATTTTCATTTTTTCCCAAGTTTTGATTTTACCCCCTGTCTTAAATGGGGACAAGAGCCTTTTTAAATCCAAAACACTCTTGTAAAGGCCAAAGTCATTTTCGAATCCAATCGTTTTACAGCATAATGAAGAAAGACAAACAAAAGTGGATAATTAACTGCTATATTTACAAATATTATTGGGAACCATATTTGATTATGCTCCTATTTTTTTTCATTTACACTCTAATTTCTAGTACCATATTGAAACTGAGTTCTGGTCTAAGCTCAGTAAGTGAGTTAGTGTGGGTGGATTAAGTGGAACTGCATTGCTGATACACAGCTCACAGCAGGCAGCTCAAAGGCTGTCATCTTTTTTTTCCACAAACAAGGATCAGATGCTGTGATCACATTCGGATGCCAGTTGTGCGAATGTAGGTTTCCTTCTGTTATACATTGGTTAGAGCCAGTGGGCAGAAATTGTCCCAGGTAAATCTTGATTTATAGGTTGGTTTACTTGAAGCTATAATAATAATAACCTCAGTCTGATTTTAAAAATGTAGATAGATTATGGGTCTGGTTAAACAGTGTTTAAGGCACATATTAAAAAAAATAGTTTAAATCCAAGTGAGCTATGAATTCAAGTAGTTCAATAATTACAATTTTCAAACCATTGCCATGAATTAAATGTTTAATCAAGCAATAATATTACAATACAGTATTTCCATTCCTATTTCTAGGGGAGGTTGTAGAAAAGCAGCATTGATCTTGAGTGAGGAAAATCTAAAATTGATGTGATATATTTTGTCTTTCAGCCGCTGTTGTTTGTGTAACTTTACTGAATCGACTGGACGGTGACCAGATTACAACACCACACGAAGTTCTGGTTGAATACCAAATGCGTCCACAGAAACTGGTGTCAAGGTTCATGAAACAACAGCTTGAGCTGTTAAAATAGAATTAAGATTGTGTCAGTTTTAGCAGAAGAGTTTCATACTGTAAATTGTATATAAGAATGGATTTCATGGCCTGCAGAACGCTTGTCAGATGCATGAAATAAACCAGTTATGCAGAATTAATTTACACATTTTTAAGTTGGCATCTCAGACTTTGTAATGTTCTTCAAAACAAGCAAAACATATTTCAATACACAACATGCTTGCAAGCAAAACAATTCATTGTTGTAGTATTTGAAATAAAAATGTAATGTAAATGTATTACTTTGTACGTACAGTATGGTAAATTCTGAATGAGGATGAGTCTTATTTGTGAAAAGATTATCAATGATATGCAAATTATTTATCTCAATTTATTTTTGAAGGCATCAAAGGCTTAAACTAATTTCAAATGTAACTGGCTCCACTGATACCTTAATGTGTTTTTAATGAGCATGGCACATTATTGGAATTGTTACTAATGATGTGGCATTGTTATTTTTTAGCACCATGCAACTGCATTTACTTGTATGGTGTCATAATCATTTAAAATAAAATATTTCTAATTTTAAGAGGTTTTGCTTCAAAAAGTTTAGATTGCATGTAAAATACCCAGGCTCGTCAGAATGCTACTTGTGCTTGAAAACTTTGAGGTCATTCAACAACAAATTACATTGGTATAGCGCCTTTCATGTCGGGAGAAGGTGCTGGATAGTCATGGATTTGGACCCGAGAAGGGGGTTGGGATCAGGAGGGGTGGTGGGCAGGGATGGTAGGGCTAGGAGGGTGGCCAAAGGCAATGGTCAAAGAGGAGGCTTGTGAGACGTGCCTTGAAGGAGGCAAGGGAGGGGGCAAGGCGAAGGGACTGTGGGATGGAGTTCCAGATGGTGCGGGCAGGAAAAATCTCATAAAGGATAAAGAACACAATGATTATACTAAAGGCATTCCAAATTTTATACCAATATTTAGTTCTTTCTCATAGTAATAATATTATAATGTAATCCTTGCATTTGATATAGCGCCTTATCACGTCTTCTAGACATCTCAAAGCACTTCACAGAATATACTGTAAAGTGAATTGACTGTTTATTTTTGGCCGAAATGTATTCACTCTTTATTCACATAAATCCATGTACAAAGGAGATCCAGTGTTGTATAGACAGGGCAGAAAATCATTATTTGCAACAGTTAAATTGATAAACGCTGAAGGCAAAACCCAACTGGGTAATACTTCAGTTATCTTCTATTTTACTTACCCTCCCATCCATCTGACTGAAAAACATGGCAAAAAACAGGATTATCCAGGGTCAATTTAAAAATAGGTGTGCAAGATTAGTGTTAGACATTTGATCAAGTTTCCATTTAAAATATACTTTAAAGATTATTTGCTTGCCTTTCTATTCACACGGCATAATTTCCTGGGCCAGACAACTTGTATCTTGCTGTCTGTCAAAACCTTTCAGGAACAAACCAGGTGACAGGAATGTTAGAAAAGCCCAGGCTGATTTACCAGCCAATTTTCACTCCATGTGAAAATTTCTCCTTCCACCTGGTGACTGAGATAAGACCAGCAGCTCACAAAGTAGGGTGCTGTGGCACAATTGGTACATTAACCTCACCACTAAGCACGGATGTTTCAGTGTTACTCAAATGTTTAGAAGTCTAACTTTCACTTTAATAAATTAATTTGGATTATTAAGACTCTTATTCCTTTTGTACTTGTTTGGTAAAATTAATTCTCATTTATTCTTAAGTAATCTGAACCAGTGATCTTCTGATCTCTATAGCTTAGTATTACACCAGTTGCTGCCTTTAGCCAACTAGATCATCAACATTTATCATACCCTAGAAAATTATGATCGTACACCCTCATTCTAAAATCATTTGCTCACCCTAATTTGATATTGAAATGGTAAATATATATAGTTTAACTATAAACAGTCTTCAACTAAGATGGCCAATACATTCTGCAGAAAATAACATCCACTGTGACAAATCACTATTGCCATTTTAAGATAGACATGACTTTGGTGGAGATGAAATGCTAATGTTAATCATAGGACAAACCTCTGGAAAATCAGTCCTTAAAGAGTGTAGATTCCAAGTCTCTTCTTGGAGGTCTTGGTGGAGGGATCTTGGATAAAACCTCTCTTGCATAAAACGTATTGTGGAGTCCTGCCTCTCGTAGTGCCAATTCAATTCGGATACGAGGGTCTGCTATAAACTGTCCAAAATAATATCAAGTGCAAGGATTATTATTATTCATCATATTGATCAAACGATCTAAGCATGTTATGTTGACTTGTTTAAAATGGAACATTGAGTTTTCCCCTGATTTTTTAATATATAAATAACAACAACTTGCACTTATATAGCATCCTTTACGCCACTCTCACATACTTTTGAAGATACTTTACATGGCATTAATTCAATTGTACTATACCTGTTTGTCAGTGTACGTGGCCAAACTAAACAGCGGCTTTTGGAGAAAAAATTCTTCCTCTGCCCCATATCTAAGTCTGGCTTTTGATGCTTCTGTATCACTCATCATTCTGACAGGATCACACTCTGCTACCACACCCATCTATGTAAAAATAACAAACAGATGGATTTCAATTTGATGACTGTTAAAACAACATTATTTGATAGTCTCAAAAAGATAATAGTTATTAATGCATTCCTAAAGCCATTCAAGAACAATTTATACCAATAACAAACAAACATTATCTCAGTTATAAATTTAAACATTTATCTCCTTTTTTTGAAAAAATCACACATCCAAACCTGCCCTCAGAACTGATTTAACAAACACAATTTTTCACCGTTTACTAGAACAGCAGAATGACATATTGCAGAACAAATCTATTCCAAACAATAAGCTTCCAAATTGTTCTGAATCGTTTTTCCCTTTTAATTTTCTTCCTTGTTCCTAAAACAATTACTCATTTTGATATATGGTGTCTTGTGTTGGAGTCATTCTCCAGTTTAACATCCAAGTGACTATTTTATGTGTAATACAAGAGTGAGATTCAGTAGGTGAATCAACCATGTGCATTATTATAGCCAAGTTCAATTGTGTCTTTACTTGATGTCCAGGGCCTTGGGACGTCCTCCCGACATGAAAAGCGCTATACAAATGTAATTTTGTTGTTGTTGTCTACACGTGTGCATTCTCCACCTGGAACTACCAGGGTTATAATAATATAATAATAATAATAATGCATTTGATATAACGCTTTTCACATCTTCTAGACGTCTCAAAGCGCTTCATAGAATATGCTGTAAAGTGAATTGACTGTATATTGGTGGGCGAAACACGGCAGCCAATTGTGCACAGCAGCGTCCCACAAACAGTCGTGGATTGAAAATGACCAATTTTGTTTTGGAGGGATTATTATTAGGCGTGTGGAGTAAGGAAACTTGCCCAAGGTTTCACCCTGCCTGGAATTGAACCCAGGTGTCTCGCTTGCAAAGCAAGCGCTCTAACCACTGAGCTACAGGACTCCACAAAGTGCACAAGTGTAAATAACTGATGAAATAATAACTACAAGCAGGCATTATGTTCCCCAAATGTGCAGTGTTCCTTCGATGGATCAGTTAATAAAGCCAGTGAGAGATTGAAGCATACAGATGTAAATCGTAGATTTAATCCCCCCAGTGGTGTGGGTTTGTTGATCCCACTTTAGGCCTGAAGGCAAGTCATCTGGTCACCATCACAATTTTAATTGGCACTTGGTCTAACCTTTGGACAGACCAGCAAGTGAGGAAAGCATATGGAGAATGTTACTGGCCAAAGTACAAACTAAGAGGAAAGACACTATGAAATACCAACACACTAAATTGCAGTTCTTGTATTAAAATTTCAAAATGTATCAATAAAGGAGTTTTACTGTGGCTGTTATGCAAAGTTCATGAATTTCAATCGGAGAATATAAAAGAATACTTTTTGCCAGAAAACATCCAGACGTTTTTGCCGCTCCTCTTCCTCTTTCATTTTCTGCAAAGCCATTGCTTTCTTTTCTTCAATGCGTTTCTCCAACATCTCCTGTCTATACCACACCCTAGGATTGACAACACAAAAAGCAAACTGCAGTCAGAGTTGATTCAGAATTACTCCTTGAAGCTGACTCCATTGTCATATCAATCACTAAAACTTAAACAGCTGGCAACATGGATTAATATACTACTCAAAGAAGCTTCTTAGTTTGATTGAGGTTGCCCTGTGTGCCATAAGCTATTTTATTTTCCTGCCTTCTGATATGAAAGGTTTGACAGGAGAAATTGGTTTAAAGTGGGTTGATCTGGAGATGATTGCAGTTTGAGGTAAACGTCATTGAGTAATGAAGCAAACTTTCCACTCCAAACAATTAAAAATATGAATGCAATCATTCTGACAGCATGCACAATTACCCCTTGGGACTTCCAATTCGCTTCTCACAAGATGCATTTGGATAACTGAATACAATCTATGTATTGAGTAGTTTTGACAGAGGTTACTTGATTTATTCTACAAGTGAAGAGAAGAGAATTTCTCCCATGTTCTGGCCAGCAATTCTCCAGTTAAATTCATTATGTACTTCTTAGATTTTATGGGACCTTGCTGTATGCAAATTGGCTATTGCATTTGCCTGCAGATACAGTCACTATATTTGACAGTTATTACCCGTTGAGACATTTCAACATCATAGGTTCTAAATCAAATGCAAGTATTAATACAATGTGTGTAAAGTAACAGCTTATAAGAGATTCTAAATGCACATTGGTGACTGACAAAGTGTAAGTCTACAGTGTTGCCTAAACTGTGCTTTCTCTACCAATACCCCGCTGCCAATTTTGCTGGAATCTAATGAGTTACTTGCAGCTGCTTCAGGTACCGTTCTGCTAATGACCCTGATGAATATTTGCCCGCGATTAGCATAGGATCATACACGATAGCCTTGCTCGCTTCTTGCCAATTCAGGATCATGGTCACCCCTCATGCAACACTCAGGCGCCTTCCCACTATCCTCGCGTTCCGCATAAACGCAACAGCTTCCTCTATGGCATTTACCTCAGCAGTTTGTAATTGCTTTAATCATCTTCCCTCACCACTTAGTGATTTGTGTGCGGAATTTATAGCAGGTGTTAATAGCCTCATTATTGTGCTGAGCACCTAACCTAGAAAGCAAATGTCAGATCTAACAGGCAGTGTACACTGATGGTAAGTTGTCTAATATCCATGGAGTAAATATATGTAGTATTTGTAACAAAAGCAATCCCATATATGACCCATCCAATTCAAAATTGAATCATTCTAAATTTTGAAGGTGAACCAATCCCTTAATGAAGTATAGAAATTCAAAGTCTTGAACCTACATCCTCAATCCTCTTGTGTTGACAATTCACATGTTCTCCCGGTGCCATCACATGTAGGCTTGAGGTCCATGGATAACACCCAACTCTATCTCTGCCTTTACCCTTCATTTCCAAGAACATGTATTTTTCTTATTCAAAACATCTGTACCTCATACCTCCAGCATGTTATCTACTGATACTCATTTCCACATAATTTTGTATGTATGGTCTCATTTATACTTTTTCCCTCCAAATCATTCTAATTTCAACTACTAAAATTTGGTTGAAATCTTGTTTGGCATAGAATTGTGCCTTAATAATTTCCAACTGGAGGGCCATATGGGATTGTTATTGCTACAAATATATATTTAATTCTATTACATCATGTTTTAGACAAAAACTCACATGGAACACTATCATATAGTTGATGAATTTAACACACTGAACTTACTATCAGTTTCTGGTGTTGCTCTTGTTTGATGTGCTCTGGGTGAGGGGCACTATATAAATGCAAGTTGTTGAATCATTTTTAAAGGGAAATCTTTCTATCAATCTTAAACACAACACTATGTCCAGTGCTCTGAAATACATATGCAGTGAATTCTGTAGAAGATAGTGCATCCAAATGTGTTGACTACACTAAATTATCACGGCCTTATCTCTGTCTTCTTTTTGAGCTTCTATTTAAAAGTGAAATGAGGACTATTAATGCAAACTTGCATATTCTTGACCATAATGCTAAGCTGGTTGTACTGCAAGTAATGGACAATGAAGTACAGTTTGATTGAAAGCTCATAGAAAATAAATACCTTGAGTAAGGACTATTACAAATCCTACTACTGTGACAAACACAATTATAAAAGTATGGCCTTGGGGGTTAGAGAAAATAGAAACAGAATAATGGTTCACTCTCCAATTTCAAGCGATACAGTATCATCTGTATTAGAATCCGGTTGTGACCATATACTGCGCTGTCATCAGTGAAAGCTTGGTATCAGAAAAGTATATCAGAATCAATTACTGCAAAGACTTCACAGTAAAAGCATTTAAATGAAAATGTAATAAAAATAGATCCACATTTCCTTCACACTTCCCCTTACTCATTATTTTCCATCCTTCACACTCTCTACCATGTCTAATTTTCTTTTACAATTATGCTCATTCAATTCACACTGTATCTTCACTTCCCACCCCTCCTTTCCTCCTTTTTTTCTCATATCCCTTGCACTCCACAAAATACACAGTCAATTCACTTCACAGTATTTTCTGTGAAGCATTTGAGATGTTTTAACAATGCAATAAGGCGGTACATCAATGGCAAGGATTCTTATCATTATTATACCACCTCCCACCATCTCTCTTTTCCATTATATTTTCAAAGCACTAGTTGTCAATGGGGTCCAAATTGTAGGATTCACAAAAAGAATCGTAATTAAAAAATCTTCAAGGTGTCATGGCTGATCCTCTGGAACTCCACTCATACTCTGATTCTATATATGAATCCTTGGGAGATAATTTAAACCTTCAACCAAGAACTGAGAAGTAGAATGCAGGGAATAGCTCATTCTACTCTTGCCAGCAAAATGCCTTAATTCTGACCTCACACATACACTCTCTACTGTACAAGCGTGATATATATTTCCAATGTCAGCTATCTTTGTGCCTCACAAAGATTACTTTCAACCCATCCTTATCAGCACACTGCTTGCTACTGATGGGAGGGAAGAAAAAAATAAGTGACATGAAATGTGCTGTGATTGCAATTGTGCAGTGCAACAAATGTATCTGAATTTTATCCATTATGTTTTACAACGAAGAAATATTGGCAGTTTTCAAAAGCAAGATATTAAATGGTAGAATCTGAAAAATTGCTTAATTACCACATACAGTTGGCAATTCCTTATTCCATCCTTACCTCTCCCTGTCCACGTCAGCCTGATTTGCCATAATACTTTTCAGTTCTTCCAGTCGCTTTTTGTCTCTTTGTTCAGCCTCCTCTCTCTTACGTTCTTTCTCTGTGTAGAATTGCTTAATCTAAAGAAAAAATAGATAAATCATTTAGTTCTGGTGAAGTTATGCAACTTTAATTTCATGAAAAAAATGAGGATTTTATGTCGCGCTTCTAAATGTTACATTTTTAGAACCACAGCATAAATCATTTCTTGCATGAAGCAGAAATTTATAGGATTTAGCATTACTCACAGATTAATTTAGTCCACTCAATTTGCAATCAACTGAATGATTGCTGAGTGTGTAGAGACACAGGAGATTAATAATCTAGCAAACACAAGAATCAATTGACTGTCGCAAGTATTGAACAAAATAGGAAGTAACTTCAGGAAGGATGGTGTACATCTACCTAAATGGGGTGCTAAAAAGCCAACACAAAACAGAAAAGCAGCAGTTGTGTTTCATTTAAACTAGAATTGGAGGGGGAGGGAGGGAGGAACACAGTGGGAAATAAAAGAGAACTAAGACCTGCTGGAAGTGACAAGAAAAGTTGAAATCATCATAGACCAAAAATAGTGGAATATCTAAATCAAGAGTGCAAGATAGCCAGAAATCATCAGACAGGGGGATTGGAGGATAGGGATAGGGACATGCAGAAATGAAATAACCTTAGTGTAATTGGCAGAGTAGAGGAGGGAAGAGGTGAGCAGAATTTAAATCCGCAGGGAAAAAATGTGAGTAAAAATGGAAAAAAGGAGGTATTAATGAAAAATAACAAGAAGACAAGGGAAAGGTAGGAGTGTGTTATACTACCTGTGGTGCAATGCACGGAGCACAAGGAACATAGGAGAACTGGAGGTGATATTTGGATGTACAGTAATTGCATTAACAGAAACGTGGTTACAACCTGGATATGATTGTCAAGTATATTGCAGGATACAATACATTTTGAAAGGACCAGAGAGGGGAAAAGGGAAGGAGGGATAGCAATACTGCTCAGAGACTCTATAATCTCAGTGCAAAGGAGAGAGATAAATAATGAGGGGAGATAAATAGAGATGGAATCCATCTGGCTAAAGATAAAGGATACAAAAATGACTAGCCACACTATTGGCAGTGTACTATAGGCCACCCAACGTGGAAAAGAACGAGGAGAAGAAATATGCTGAGATGCGCTAAAATAATAACAGTAATTAATGGGATTTCAGAAATCACAGGGTGCCAGACACAGCTTATATCCTTCCTGCGGTCAAAGGTCATAGAACAGAACTCCCTGCATCTTTCAACAATTTTCCTCGAAATACAGTCAGTGATGTTTTTCTGAAGGGCTAATTTTTTGTAAAAAAAAAGGGTAAAGTCTGGATGTAAATCAACCCACGTTGAGTGTTTGCTGTATGACTTGGCACATGATTCTGTCATGGTATAAATGACGCGCGACTCTTCTGACACATCATTCTACCAAAACAAGGAAAGGATTTTAGAATACTTCTTTGTGAATGTGGTGCCCTTTTAATAATAAATGATGTGTATAAAATATTTCTCTCATCACTAACAAAACAGCAATCGGAATAAATGTGTTGTTTGATGGATTCCACTCCTTCAGACCCAGATATCAAAATTGGATTATACGAATTTAGAGTCAATCTTACTGTTGCAATTGCTGCGCTTGTAAGAAAAACAACTTTCAACAAACATCACTCATGTCCTTTCTTTGAATCAATGGATCTGCCTGTTTCAGTACAACAGCACAGAGGCAGCACATTATGTGGTGCCATTGTGCAAGTTGTTATGCACGTTATGCAATGTTAACAAGTTGTTAACACCGACAGTCAACTCCCACAACTTTGGGTTCTGGTTAGTCTGGGTGTCTGGTACACACTGTATTAGCATTTTTAAATGCAACTAAAGTACAATTAACTATAGCATGAGTGAGGAAAGGTAAAACAGACAAGGCAACCAATACACTGATTTCCTTACTGTTTCTCTATCCACAGCTCTGCGATTTCTTTCTTTTTCAATTTCTTTTCTCTGCTTTTCTTCCTCCTGCTCTCTCTTCCGGGCAACAATAGCAGCTTCCAGCCGAGCTATTTCCTCTTGATGGGTCCGCATTTGCTGAACCTAAGGAAACAAAAGTTTGGCTTAATAGATGGAAATCATTTACATTTTATACAAAGCACCCTGAGCTGATCAACTTTAGAGATCCAAATAATTTTTTTTAAATACTCTTAGCGAATCCGAAACCCAGTTCACTTGACACGCTCACATAACGAATATTACTGTAGGGACTCGCATGCAATTTAAATTTAAATTTTCTATATATATGTCATGAGAATACAAGGGTTGAATTTTCCAGCACAAACATACTCGTCATCATTTTGCTGATGGCTCAGTGTTAAGTGCACAGTCTAGAGAGTCAATATGCCATACAGACCATTTAGGTTCCAGATTTGATGCTTGATCTATGCTGAGTTAGCCCAATTCAGTTAGCTCCCAGGACTTGTTACAGTAAATGGAATAAACACTCTACAATATAATAATCCTTGCATTTGATATAGCTCCTTATCACCTCTTCGAGACATCTCAAAGCGCTTCACAGAATATACTTTAAAGTGAATTGACTATATTTTGTGGGTGAGGGATAAACTCTAAACATTTAAAAAAGGTTGTTATGACTGCAACATCTGGATGGCTTAATCAGCAAACATTTTGTGGTTGGGGAACAACAACATGTTGTGGTTTGACAATGGCAAACATCCTCTGCAGAATAAAAAGCTCTGTATCTATCTTACTTTCTCATCAGTCATCAGGGAACTCTTCCATACAAAGATAACTGAATAGAGATGTCAAATATCTGCCAAGTGTACTTCAAAAATATATTGGCCATTAGTGATGGTCTTGGGAAATGAAAAAAAGTACAAATCCACGAGTCATTCCTAAAGTTCTTTCAGATGTTCTGAATTTGTTTGCTATAATGTAGTTCTAGCAGAATATGTTTAGGAAAGCACTATCTGAGCCATGAAATTCAAAATTAATTCATTTCACTGATTGGACATTGCTTCAACAGAAACATTATCAAAGCGTTCAACGGAGCTTTATATTATTAGCATGTGATGGGATGCATGTCTGACATTTCACACAAGTAAATTTCTGTTATTTCTATTCTGCTTTATATTTTCTCAGATGAACACATCCGAAACTGTTGAAGTGATGGAAAAGGATCAAATTTACTCATGTTACCAATACCACAGGTGAAGAATTGGCAAACACACTGTTTGAATCTATGAGAGGTCAACATTAATGAGGGCCGAACTTTTTGCAGAACCAAGAGCTCTGCAAGTTTCATAATTTCTTGTCATTTGATTCAAAAGTTATTTTTGCTGAAGCTAGACATTGCACATTTCTGCTCAAGAGCACCAATGCAACATCTAAATCTCCCTACAACTATATTGGAAGGTAACATTCAGACAGTCATTTTGTTAGTCAAAATACACATACAACTATTAGCAGCTATTGCTTTATTCAATGCTTTATTAAAATGTACTTCAATTCAGCATTATTCTTCAATGCTGAACTAAGTGTTGTCAAGAGGAAGCAATACTTCCCGGTGGATCGGAAGTAACTCGCTCAGTACTGCAAGAAGTAATGGAGTTTTTAAACACTTTTAGAATTCATGTTCCACAATATCATCTGCATGATATTTTGCCACAATTTAAGTTGTTTTATACACTGCACAAAGTTTTCATTCCATTAACTTGTATAAGTGCATAATTTGGATGATTTAACATGTGCCACTTTGATGAAAACATTAAGAGTGTAACGTAGGCTAATGAAAAATCTTTACAGCGGGAAATCCCATTACAAAGACTTAGCTATAAAGATCTTTAGTGATCAGAGTACATTTAACCTATTGTTGGAAGTCAATGTAGCTCATTCATTTGCAGCTACTATGTACATCCCAGTAGTTGACTCGAGAACAACAAGAACAAAGACAGAGACCCAAGAGTGGTTGGTCTGCCAGCCCTTCATCATGTTAGATGCTCTCAAAATAAGTGCATGTTAAAATGTGCCATTTCTGCTTTTATACATTTCTTCCAAAAATGTTTGATCCACATCACTCAGCAATCACAGTCGAGAATATGAGGACCCAAAAATCTCCTCTTGGGGTGAGGGGGAAAAGAAATACGTTGTGTCCTTGAGATTATGTAGGGGACTCCACAGTTAGGCAAGGAGGCCTGTTTGTAGTTAAATGGTTCATCAACAGATTTGGACATACAGATGTGTTTTCTGCCTTTAAAGACTTACACATGGCTGATTTCCCCTTCACATTGCAGCCAATTACAGCAGCTCTGGTGTCTGAAAGCGCTTCACAGATATATTGACTGTTTTTTGTGGGGGTGAAACGCGGCGATGGAAAGTCAGACACATTCTGTATAAATAGATTATCCAATGTCTTAATCTCTTATTCAGGACCTGAAGACACGAATTTGGCTTTCCACTCTATCTGAAATGTCAACAAAATCCTTCAGGCACTAAACTGACTGCAGAAAATTTCACCTTAAAATATAGTTAGTGTGATCCCACATTCTAAGTAATAAACACAAACATGGATCATATTTGTTTTAAATATTAGATATATTTCTTATGCTTATACCTAATATTTAAACCAAATATGATCCAAAATTTTTTTTACAAGCAATTCATCGAAATAACGCAATTGCAAACCCAAAACATAAAATATAACTCAGCCTTCACCTCTATTTAATCACTGTCATTATGCAGGCTTGGCGCTGAAGATGCAATTCTGTGAGCATTCAAATAACACAAATCATCGCCGTTCCAGTCACTGGGGTAGAGATGATGAATGGAAAAGCAGAGAGAGGCGAAGCAGATAGGCACAGAAGAGAGAATCAAACTACTTTAAAATTCATCCATAAAATATACATTATTCTTTTTGCGTTTTGTGATGTCTCAATGAATCATGGTTTTTTGCTCACCTTGTGTTTTAATTCAGCACAGATTTCCTGCTGCTTCCTGCGGTTATTTACCAGGATCACCTCAGCCTCATGTCTAAAACATGCTTCCGTAAGTGTCATGGTTGCGTTCATCAGCAGGTCCTTCCTGTCTCGAGTCCAGCCCCGAATCAAAACCCTCTGATGCTCCTGGTTAAACCGATATTGGTCCCATAACCTCCCGTGATCAACCTGAAATAATAACTTGTTTGTCATTTAAAAGAGCTGTTTTACTTGTGTGCTCATCAAGATGGGAATTAAAAAAAATGTTTCCACCTTTCCAAACAATTATTCCATTTGACCTTTTGTAGTGAAACTCAAATTCTGACAGCCTGACAGGTATGGAAACCCACAGGGAATAAAGGGGGGGGGGGGGTCACATCCAAATCAATTGACAGTTAAAGACAGGTTTGGATTATAATTTTCAGCAATATTATAATATCACCAGTAATAATCACCACATTACCTATTTTTCTACCATCATACAGTATATTCTGTGAAGCGCTTTGAGACGTCTAGAAGACATGAAAAGCATTATATCAAATGCAAGGATTATTATTATTACCATCATCATTATTCAAGAAAGAGAGAGAAAAACAACTTTTATCCAACAAATCTGAAGTGAATTCAAACCAGTGTTCCAGATTTTTAGTAGTGTAGAATCTTTTGTTTAAAGTTTTATTGCAAAATGTATTCAGATTTTGGTGAGATTCTGGCAGGTTGGTAAAACATTACTTTAGACCACTATTTGATATCCACTGCTAAACAGTGAATCAAAGAAAAAGGTTCTAATTTGCATTTATATTCAAAATAAATGTCATCTTCATGTAGTTGGGAATGGTCTGTGTTAAGTTGATAGGTGCTTAGGTCAAGCAGAATGCAATTATGGACAGCAGTAAAACAAAATCCTTTTTTGTGTATTTATCCATGCAATAAGCATTTAATAAACATCAGCAGAAAATCATGGCATGGAATAATATAAATATGCATATGGTCCCCTGAAAGATAAGTATAAGGAGTGGTAAATTCACACTAATGGAATAGGGGGCTCATAGCAACAACAACAACAACAAGATTCCATTTATAGAGCGCCTTTCACGTCAGGAGGACGTCCCAAGGCGCTGCACAGTTGGGTCATGACCGAGCAGGGGGGAAATGGTCAGGGTGAGGGGAGGGAAGGGAGGGAGAGAGGAGGGGGGAAATGGTCAGGGTGAGGGGAGGGAAGGGAGGGAGCGAGGAGGAGGAAGAGAGTCGAGAGGGGAGCTGAAGGCACGGTCAAAGAGAAAGGTTTTGAGACCGGCCTTGAAGGAGGAAAGGGAGGAAGCAGGGCTGAGATTGAGAAATAGACAGATTTTTAGAAGAAAGAGAGAGAAGTTCACATTGCATCTATTCCGATTGTATCTGCCCTTGGAGTGATGGATGACTTTGTTGCAAAAGTAGAAATGTTCTCTTCCCTAACATGGAAATCCCTCACGTGGAAGAAAACACATTTTAATATCTGTATAGAAAAATATATTTAAATTTTTGTCCAGCACCTTGGGACACCTTCCCAACATGAAAGGCGCTAGACAAATGTAATCTTGTTGTTGTTATTAAAAAAAATCTATCTACAGCTTCTTGAGAGGAATTTTCATGACTTTAGCTAAACTCAAGGAAAAATATCAAAACTAAATCTGCTTACGAGTTCTCTATGCAATAATTTATATTTAGCAACTTTCACATCGCAAGGTTTTCTCAAAGTGTTTGACTTTGAGACAACAGCTGGGGACCTGAGCTGAGGGTGGGTGCCGAAGGGAGTGGGGAGGGGAAAGATGACGGAAAGAGCGATCAAAGAGGGATGTATTGAGACGGGCCTTGAACGACAGAAGGGAGAGAGCGAGTTGAAGGGACTTCAGGATGGAGTTACAAAGAGCAAAGACAGAATGACTGAAAGCCCACCGATTAATGGTGGGGCAGATAGTGCAGGATCACAAGTTCTATTCGCAAAATATGACATTCAAATACTTTTTGCAATATGATGTATCACTAAAAGTTATAAAAACAGTTTGCAATTTTACCAGCTATTAATGGCGAATAAATTACAATCTGAATTCAGATTTTTTGGGTGACTCAAAAAAAATGTTTCATAATCCATGTTAATATAATTTCCAAAACTATATATATTACTGTAGTGACAAATAATTGTTGATAAGTGATAATGTACAACAATAATTTTCAAGCTACAATCCAGTGTGGGTACATTGTTATAATCTATGCCAATATATAAGAAGTTTTGCTAAAAATATAGAATAATATCTACCTTTACAATCCTTCAATTTAGGCTTCAGTTATTTTAAATGAGACACCAATATTCACAAATATGTCTCAGAAACAAAATAAATAGTTTGGTATATACCAGTAGACATTCAGATAAATGCCAATTTTTTCCACAAACTGCTGAAGAAGGCACAATTTTGTTATTTTTGCAATTTGTAACCGTTACTGGTCAAATAGTGATTTGTAAACAAAATTTATCATGTGAGTAGCAGATCCAATGATAATACAACTGATGATATGTTATCTGATAGTTATTTTTAAATGGAAAAACAGCAATCATTTTGTTAAGCTGAACATATTTTGCTTAGCTTAACAAATGCTATTTTTCCATTAACACTTTGAAAGCTTGAGCATGCCTCTGCATTACAAACACTGGACTGACCAGAGCGTGCTTGGATTTGTCTGGCAACAGCCTCTGCAGCATATCCATATAAAGCTGGTTGCGATTCTGAACCTCAGGGGAGTACACCTCTACAATGACTCGGAAAATCCAGTGATCATTTTCACTCCATTCACAATTCCTGAAAAAAAGTAAAATGTCAGTTACTGCAAAGCTAATCTTTGATGATTTTGTTTTGCTTTTGCTTACAAACAATCTTTCATTTAAGAACAAATTAGATAGATTTCTGTTAGGAAATAATATTTCGGGATATAATATATAGTTTGGGACACGACAGGTCAAGCGACAACCAGGATGGTGAAAGGTGAACTGAATGGAACTTGGTCTTCTTTTGCCTAACAAATTCTTTTGTTCTTAGGTTTTTCCAAGAAACATCAAATCCATTTTCTCAAGCATTGTTTCCACAGGGTAATTAAAATTAATTAATTTAATTACCTGACTCAAAATGTGCAGGTTTCATCCCTTCCCTACAGCCAATTTCATTGAGAGAAAAAATAATTGGGATTCAAAAAGTGACTCACATGCAACTGCATAGTTGCACTTCATCTTAGATTGAATTGAATACCCTTCACATTTCATTGCTGCTACTTCCCTCTATGAAATAAGCTGTTTCTTTTTTCTTATTGCAGTATAAAGGAAAAATAGAGGTCTTAATTTGCTTCATATTTGCAGAGACAAACAAATGAATTTAAACATTTCTGGATTTTTTTTTAGTCGATTGTGTTGTCCTCTGGCAGGGCGAAACCGTAGGCAAGTTTCTTTCCTCCACATGCATCTGTTTACCTGGCAGTAAGTAAGAACCTGGTTGTTAGTCAAAGCGAAAGATGCATCACTTTCTGGGGGGTAATAATAGTTCAATATTATCAGTTAGGATTTTCTGGATGACAAGATGACACCAGACTTGTTTTGAGGGGCAAGTAATGTCTCCGGACTGCCACATTGTATGAATGTAGATGGATCAACAAACTTTACAGAGTCTCCATACTATGAACAAATAGACTTTACAGACTCTCCATGCTATAATCAGAATGCGATCCAATCAAGGCTAGGTAATCAAAAAATCCAATTACAATAATCATTTGCCATTGATACTGTAACAGCCTCTGAAAGATTATAGCTGCTGAAGTATAAAAAAGTAAATGAAATCTGAAATCAATATTGCTTCAGAGTAATATGTTGAACTAACATATTAAATATAAAGCTGATTCATTTATTTTATTTAACAAATAAATCTAAAACATTATGGTGGAAGGCATTTTATTTGGAATACTTTTATTTGAAGGTTTCCTTCTCATTGAATATCTGCAAAATTATTTAACTACCCCCACATGCTACTCTTGTTACCAGGTCTAATAAATGTTACTTGTTACTGTACTAGCTTTGCCTCTTACCAAAATTGTGTATTGTCACAACAGAAAGACACATCTTGTACATCTTTGTTGTAGGATAATTGGGGGTAGAATTGGACCAAATGGAGTACTCAAGAACCATCAAAGCTCTTCAATTTATTATCAGGTTTCACACTAGGCAAGAGTGTGGTTCCACACAATACAGCATTACTTTGTGGAATATTATCTATGTGTTCAAGACTCTAAGGGAACAAATCTTCAGTACTTTCATTTGGAATCATTTAGACTGTTATAAAAGCAAGATGGGAAACCAGTATCAGATGATCAATATTTTAATATCTATTTAATGGCATAACTAGCTAAGATACCTTTACAATTTACAGAGGAAATTGCTATGATCATGTGCTAAATTTGATTAATAGCAATTAAGATACTACAATCTATCCTTGTGATTATTGTCATTATAATTATAAATCACAATAATTGCAAAATTAGAGAAATAAGAAACACTGCTCATTTCTTTTATTTTAGTTTTTTCAAAAATACTCAACCTTTTTCAGTTTGAAGTTTAGCTGTTTGCCAATAAAATTGGCTCTATATACAAACATCAGAAGTACAGTGATGCAAATGTATTTCATTACTACTATAGTGAAGAATCTTAATTGTCGATGTGGAAATAGATGTTGGAAAACCACGGCATCTGAATTAGCAATATCAGCTAATAAATATAGCTGTAAAACTCGATAGGGGTAAGAGTTTGCTTTGCATTTTTTTAGAAAACATGATTAGAGATATATCTATTCCAATTCCTATTAGTTGAAGGCATAATACAAAAATGGAATGTTGCTTTCTTTAGAAAAACAGGCTGAACATCTCTGTGAAATCAACTTCAGGTGATCTTTTGTGACAAGACCACACTATAAACAGCTGCGTAAGTAAGCCTTTCCACTAAAATTGAATATGACAGGTAATAAATTATGCCAAAATAGGAAAACATGCCTTTTCCCCTTATCTATTGACAGTTTGAAACAAAGTTTTTTATTTACTTTTCTTTCTAAAATTATTATTTAAAACAAATTAAAACAGTATATGTATTGTTCCATCACAGTCACATGAATGCTGATATTTATGCAGCAGAAAAAAATATACAGACTTCAATTATACGAATAACCTTTACCTGTCTGTCACCTTGAGCCACTCACCGATGTCCTCTAGTTGGGATCTGTACTTTTCATTGAGGTTCTGGAACTCATTCAAGATTGTAGCCTTCAGGTCCGGATATGGACATCGAAAATGCTCAATTTCTTCTGGAATTTCATTCAGTTGAGGAGGAAAATCTTCCTGCACATATGGAAAAGCAAAATAAAATGAAAAATTAGCACTGGGAGAATTCCAGTTTAAAATAGTGATATAAATGAGAATAATTACCAACAGTAACAATGATGTTGATCACTCTGATTGTTTTTCCTTCTCTTTACCTCAATTTTAAAATCCTTAATTTGTTCTTCCAAAATGAGAATCTCTTGTCCAAGCTTGTCCATTATAAGTTTTTGTTGACTTTTTACACTTTCCACCTTGTTGAACGCAAAAAGTATGAAAAGTCATGAAGAAATAACAAAACATTCATGGCTGTGAAAAGTCAGAGATAAATGATTATCCACCAGTTTCTGCTGAATCAAGATATGACGATTTACAATCATTTTCAGGAAGCATGGTTTGAAAAACATTGGCTCAAATAACCTTTTTATTCTTTTTAACTGATAATATTTTTATGGCCATTTCCTCTCTCAACTTTTTCCTTGTTCTTCTGTTCAGTATTCACTCATTTACTTTCCAGCAAGAATCAACAAATATTCGGCTGCAAAATACAGTCACTACACTTTACAGTAAATCCATGAAAATTAAATACTTATGTAAGCACCCCAGTTATTTCCCTAGGACATTATTGTATTAGAAGTTGTAAAATGTTTTTTGTGGAAACAATGGGAATTGAAAAAAAACATGAAGTATCCATTGGTGAACATCTAACAATAACTTTAGTGTAAGGAAAGATTGGATAATAATTGTCACAAATAGATTACATGGCATAATATAATGAGGATTATTATTATTGTTATAAAACAGGAAGTTCCATACCTCTTGCAGGATCTGGTTTGAATTTATTTTCTGTATTTGGTGAGGTTGTCCCATGCCACAATTCTGATGTTCAAATAGCCTTTTCTTCAGGTCTTCCATTAGCTGCCAGATGGGATCCACTGTAGCTGTTTTGAAGACTTCTTGGTCTCCAAACAACAACATACCTTAGATTAGACAGATAGAAACAAAATCCTTGAAACCGCTAAATATTATACAGTATGCACTTCAGCAAAAGTCATAAAATAGAACAAGTAGCCATTCTGCATCCACTATCATGACTATTTGGAGACATAAATTGGCTGCAACATTCACCGAGTCATTACACTTTACAGTAAACCCTGCGAAGTACTTTGAAACGTCTTCTCAACTTTATAAAATGCAAGGATTTTTGTTGGTATGAACATGAAGAATAAAATTCAGGACAACAACAACAAGATTGCATTTATAGAGCGCCTTTCACGTCGAGAGGACGTCCCAAGGGGCTGGACAGTTGGGTCGCGACCGAGCAGGGGGGAAATGGTCAGGGGGAGGGAAGGGAGGGAGCGAGGACAACAACAACAACAACAACAAGATTCCATTTATAAAGCGCCTTTCACGTCAGGAGGACGTCCCAAGGTGCTGCACAGTTGGGTCATGACCCGAGCAGGGGGGAAATGGTCAGGGTGAGGGGAGGGAGCGAGGAGGGGGAAAATGGTCAGGGTGAGGGGAGGGATGGGAGGGAGCGAGAAGGGGGAAGAGAGTCGAGGGGGAGCTGAAGGCACAGTGAATTAGGAGGCAAAATTATATTTGATTTTGCATTTTGCCAAAAATACACTTTAGCACTCCATACTGCAGCGTTCGGCAGGCATTTTGTGGTCGACATTGATTAATGTGCTCTCCAGGGGCTGTTGATCTACAGTATTTATTACAGATTGTATAACTGTAGTACTATAAAATATCTCACTCTGCTGTGGACTATTGATGATATAGCTAAATAATGTGAATGATATTCAATGTGTTTTTTTGCATTTTCTTTTTACTCAAAACACTTCAAACTCTTTCAAAACACTTCAGATTCTTCAAATTTAGCCTTGGGAGGAAATCACTATGATATTGTGCTCCATCATAAAAATCCATATCCTCTCGGCAGTCCTGCAGTTCACCTATCCTCAAGCAAAGCTTGGTGGAAATCTATTTAAATTAGAAAATGACTATAATCTGTCACTAAGCATCATTGAGTAGTTTCACTGAAATTGTGCCTGTGTTACCTAGATACACAATCCAGATACACAATCCTGTGCACCCAAGAGCAGATCAACAACAACAAAATTATATTTATACTGTTTCGCGCCATTCACGTCGGAAGGATATCCCAGGGCTCTGAAAGAACCCAATTCTTAGGTCAATAAGAATGTAGAGTGCTGTTGAAAGCAGTTTTTGTACATGAACGCACTTTGAAATCATACTCCAAGGTAGTGTTGGAGGTGCCATCCTTCAGATGAGGTGTTAAACTGAGGTCGTCTGCTTGTTCAGGTGGATGTTATAATAATAATCCTTGCATTTGATATAGTGCTTTTCACGTCTTCTAGACGTCCCAAAGCGCTTCACAGAACATACTGTAACGTGAATTGACTATATTTGTGGGCGAACGCAGCAGCCAACTGCGCACAGCAATGTCCCACAAACAGTCATGGATTGAAAATTACCAATTTATTATTGTTTTTTTTTGGAGGGATTATGTTATAAATCCTATTCAAAAAGCGAAGGGAGTTTTCCTATGTCCTGGAGGTACAATTGGTCATTCATTTCCTGGCTATTTGTGAGACGTTTCTTTGTGCAAATTGGCTGTCACATTCGTCTACAAGTATTGTTTAAAAAAATTACAATTACAATTTTACAAATACATAGTCACTACACTTTACAGAAAATCCTTAAAAGTAACATTTTGTTGACACGATAAAGCACTATATCAAATGCAATGATGATTATTGTTATGTATTACAATTGCTTGTTCTTTTACTCAGTGAAAGTATTTGCATTCTGCAACTGGGTATTCTCTCTTTTCAGTGATGTATTTAAAATGGATTGTATCCAGTAAAACTGGCCGACAGTGTTCCATTTTAAACAAAGCAGGCAAAAGACAGCATTTCAGGAAAACAGCTGGTTTTAATACATCAAAGCAACATGAAGTAAATACTTGGAGATATGATAACATCAAACATTATTTCTCTGGCTCTCTCAGGAAGCTTGCAGGCATATCTAGCAGACTCATGCATCAAAATGTATTCCTCTGTTGCTTCAGACTGAGTGGAAAAGATCCTGAGCTGTAATACAATCTAATTACACATTCATTAGTTTTGTGAATTTGGTTTGTTTACCAATTGTGCATAAACATTTATATGAGGCAAGTAGGAAATATCTAAAGAGTACAAACCATGGTAAAGATGCAACTTACTTTAAGAAAAAAATATGTTGAACTATTTTAACAATTTTATGAATCAAAAAACATGAAGCCAGCATTTTAAACAAGTTACAAATCATACATACCATAATCTTTCATTTCAGTAATGAATGAATCGTCGATGCTCGCAGATTCAAGTAATTTGTGTACCTCTGATTCTACTTTTTGTCTATTAGAAAAAGTATATTTACTAATATGAATAGTTAAGAATACAGAGTATTTATTTTATAGCAGATTTTTTTTAAATTCCACCCTTCAATTTTCTGTGCGTTGGTGTTGGCTGCCCTCAGATATCTCATTCAAGTGGCCATTCTTCATTTGTGAGCACAGACAGTGAGATAGGATATTCCATCATAAAGGACATCACAGCTGATCCTAAACTCATTGAACATCTACATCAATCCCTAACTAATTCTTTCCTTTCCTAATCCAGGTCTGCTGAGAACCATTGAATCAATTCAACTGGTACCAGGGTTGAGATCACCGTTGGATATTAAATAATACTTTGAAAAATGTTTCTGTTCTTTCCGAACTTGCCTCATCTTTCGTCTTCCCGACTAATATCTTCCAATCAAGACGGTAGCAGATAGTTTCTTTACAATGACCCTCCATGAGGCTAGATGATCTGAATGATCATAGGTATATTTGGTGGAGGATGAACAAGTTCATGTTTCTTCTTATCCTGCTATTTCAAGGAACTAAGAAAAGGAGTCTGAAAGACAATGATCTCAGAACTACGGAAGACAGATTTAAGGCAGAGATAGCCTGGATCTCAAACTCACAACCTGATTGTTTCCTTTGATAAGCTGAAGTCCCATGCCAACATTGAAATATGGTACTTTATGAAAGACATTAATAATAGTTACTCTTAGTTTAGAGCTATAACACATGTTGCAACGTCAAAAAGATAATGCAGATCTACATCATTTATCAAACTAACTAACCACATTGGGTAAGTCATTGGGTAATTGCACAAGGCATACGAGTCTGAATCCTACTTCAAAGATTTCAACTTGGTGAGAAAAAACTTTGTGACTAGTGCAGCTTATTAATTTTTAAACAGCAAAACAATTTCTGGATAACTTATGGTTCCATTTCAGCTTTCAGGACTCAGAGTGATGACGGACAATGCAATGAAACACTAAACTGAAACCCAATTTCACAGCATTGTGGTTACTACGGATGGAGACATAGATCTTTGACAAAAGGACTTGTGTGAATCAATGAACAATTCATTAAAGAATGAATTGATGGTCATATAAAGAGCATGCACAGATGTTAATTCGTACCTGCTTTCCACCAATTTCTGTAGTTCAGGCCACCATACATGGCGATGCTGCTTAATCAGTGAATTATCTTTGTTCCTTTTTGCAGCTTGAAAGGTTTTTTTAATCTGTGTTTATAACCATGAATTGAAAACAGTAAAATAGCAAAACAGTCAAGTTTGCAAAATGTTAAGTCATATATTGTTATAAACACATACTGTTACACTGGCGGACAGTCCTGTTCTGCTTGGTATGTTTTCTACACATTTGAGTTTGCGTATTGTGATTAACAAAAGACTGAATAATGTTATATCCAGTGCTGCCGGATTTCAAGTGCCTCGGCGATGCTGGATTTTTTAACATCTTTTTCTTATTCTTGAAATTGTAAATGCCTTCAGAACAGTCTGGAAGTGTTTGCAAGTGTTTATAAGGGAAGTTCCCCTATTTTTATAGTATGTATAATGTTATAACTCCGATGGATTATGACATTAAGCAGATTCAACTGCATTTAATTCTGAAAGTCAGTTTCTAATTTAAACATTTCATCATTGAAAGAACCACTCGCAAGTTATAAAATGGGGCTACATTTAGGAATGTAGCCTCCAATACTTGGTGGACATTAGTAAATTGGACGCAGAACAGATCTGACATGTGCCTCATCTGGCAATGGAAATGAAAATAAGCTTTTGCACTTTTATTTGATTCCAGCTTCAAGTGATCTCATCTCTAAGGTAAACAACAATGTAATATACTATTTGTATGACTCGTGCTGCAATGGTGGTTTAGTTTTGTTTTGCTGGTGGTATGGGTGACATCAGCCAGAATGGTTTGTAGAATTGAAGCATGAACACTGCCCATTCTTTGTTTGTTTTCCCCTGGGAACTTGCTATGTGGAGAGAATCAGAACTACTTTTTATTAAAACACTATATATAATTAGTTACAGAATACACTATCTAATGGATTCTATGATTCTACTTTGCTACCGCCTTTGCACAGACTAGTTTTACCTTGAGCTCGATATCATGAGATGCCAGCTTTTTGGCTTCAGCGAGGGCCTGTAGCTGCTGATAGTCAACTGGTTTGAATTTCGGGTGTTTGAGACCATATTTCATCCGAATTATGAGCTTTTCTGCAAATTACACAAATAGAAAGATATCAAAATGCACACTCAAAGTTCAATAACATAATAAAAAGAATATAGTGTATCTCCAGATGAAATGTAATTCAGTACAGTAATTGATGAAATAATTTCTATTACACTATATTTTCAAATTTAATTTGTACCATCATGAAACCTATCTGAGCTTTAGATGTTTTACTGGGTTTTTGGTAAGATTCACTGCATAATCTGACCCACTGGTGCAATCAGAATCCAAATTCTTCTAGTTGAAAGAATAAATACATCATTAACTTAGTTTCCCTTGGGCTTTGAAAAGTATGTTGACTTAAAGGATATGGTAACAGACACTGACATTAGCCTTTCATGAAATCTATTTTACAGTGGTTTCATTTAGATTTCAGAAACATGAAAAGACTAAGTTGTCAGTTAATAAAAGTGTTTAATGTTTAACATTAGTTCTTACAAATGTAGTTGGAACAGAATACTCCAATGACTAATTTTATTCAATTTCTCTGTCCATGCATAATTGTTTTGAAATATCAACATCATCAAGCAATCAACAAGTAGTTTTTCATGGGCTGGTTTAAAATGATACATTGCAGACTTATAGCAGTGTTAAAGAGTTTGCAAGCACTGTCTTGCTCGAGGCTGACTTTTAGTTAGGCTTCAATACGCTGTCCCACAGCGTGATGAGATGCAGGTCTGCAGTAATGATTCACCATACAGAGCTACACATCCAATCACTCCAGCAAAAAATAGGAACAAATCTACAGAAATGGAGTGAGGGCAGGAAACATTCCATTAATGCTATAGATCTTACTGTTTACAGAAGCTCATTCACATGCTCGATAAATGCTATAGGTAATAGTTTTGATACGCTTTCACTGAAAGCAGAGAAGATGAAGGAGTACCATTGACTCCCAGATGTGCCAACCTTTCATAACTAGACAAACCACAAATTACCCTTTAAATAGCAGGTCTTTGAGGACATCAAGTGAAGGGGAGATAGACTGCAACTTCTTCCTGGATTGCATTACAAGTACCACTAACTTAGGGAATTAAGCAATTTAGCTGTATGAATAAAAGTACCAAAACCTTTTTAATTTTTTAGAAACTAAGCATATCAGAAGTTTAAAAGGACATGAATGTTAATTATGCAATAAAACAAACTCACTTCAATCCGACTACTCTCACATAACAAACAGAACAGTAAAATAATGCTACAACAGAAAGTCTTATCGTTAAATACCTGTGTCTTCTGTTCTGTAGTTTGTGACAAACATTCTAAGATCTCTTCCACTCATTGCTCCTAAAAGGTAGTAAATGCATATTTTACCAAAAAGAAACACAAGGTGCTTTAAATTGTATTCTGATAATTAGAGTACTGCAGTGCCTCCCCAAAAAATCAATATTGTATCTGTCTCAGACATTGCCTATAACAGACACTCATGAAATTGCAGTTTCCATTCACATCATGAATAGCAACAAACGCATTTGAAGGTAATACTTACAACCTCCTTAATAACAATAATATTAATGCATGCATTTGATATCTCATCGTTGAGATGTCGCAACGCAACTCAGACTGTATTTTGTGGGCAAAACCTACTTATTTAAATTGATTATTATCATTTCAATTTTGAATCCAGTGCACTACAGTAATACTGCACAATCCATGCATAAACAGTAAGCATAATTAACATTGTCAAGAAAGAAAAAAATAGCAAAACACCAACAGATCAAGCCCAGTAAAACACCAGCTGGTGGATGTCGATGGCTTTTTGTTCAAACATGTCACCAAAATACCCATTGGGAGAAATTCCACTTTGGTCTAGATTTACTCCATGTTGTATTTCAGAGCGTCCAAAATTCAGCAAATTGTTGAATTTAGTCCTAACTTTGAAGTTGTTTTTCTGTAGTTCTTAAGTAAAACTTACACACAAAAAAGCTTCAAAATTAAAGCTGCATTTAATAATATACCAAATTCTGGATACCTAAAATCCTACATTATAGAAGAAGTCTCAACTCAGATAGAATTTCTCTCCGCAGGTTTACAAAAAAGATTCAAGTATTTTTTGTCATACTGTGATTATTGACATTCTGGTGGATTTGAATTAAAAACAGTTATTATTCTAATATACTTATTTATTAAGCAATAATATTTTCAGTCATAATGATTATATGCAAAGTGTGACTGTGCTGTTTATTTTGTTTTGAGGCGAAGTGGAGCATTAACGTAAACACTGGTTTGGTTATGTTGTCTGCCTTTGAATCCATTATGTCTTCAATAGATATTTTAAATGCAAAGCTACATGAAGATTCAATGCTCCTGTGTACTCCACGTGGTTATGCAGGTTCTATTACCCAACCTATTATTTGACTCATTCCAGTGAAATCAATTGAATAGTAGTGTGTAGAATGTAAAACCTGTCTGTACACAATGTGGCGTTACATTGTTTGTTACACTTTTTTTCTCTTGTAGGGAAGGGGAAACCAACAAAAGAAAGACAGACATGTAGAGAAAACCAACCAGCTTTACAGATCAATCCACATCAGCCAGTGAAATAGCTTTCTTTTTAAACAGAAACTTTGTCACTCAAAAGACATCAAAATCCTGAAAAGATATAATACAAATCAATTCCCTCTAGACACCAATATTATTAAAAACATTTTGCATAAAAGAAGAAAAACCAAGATAGTGAGCAGTGATCACTGCAATTCACTATTGCTATGGACCTGATTTTCTGATGTTTTGATGGAATAGGATAACACATATAGATTCATAAATAGTCATTAGGACTTCAACTCTCAGAACTGTATCCACAGATGTCAGGAAAGACTTCAATCGGTACTTTGCCATTAAAAGAAGCATTACAATTGCTTCAAAATAAGCAGATTTCTGAGGCTCAGATTCTTAACTAGTTCATCCACAAAATTGGAAAGTTGTGTTTCATGAAAATGAAGGCAATCGGGCAAGTATAATAATCTTCCTGTGAGGCTGATATAAATGATAGAAATTAGTGAATCACTGGTACTATAACAAATTCCTCAAAAAACCTTCAAAAATGGCATCAACAAAACATTAGTAAAACATTTTATCAATGTCAATGCACAGCAGAATTTCTCTGACTCATTGTGAAGGTATTCACAATATATTCAACTCATTGGAGTTCACGGCATGCATACATTTTTCACTTGAGAAATAATTGAGATAATGCAATGTTGCCACTTCAATAAATATCATTTCAAGAGCTTGTCTGGCACTGCATTGTACTGTAAACTGGTAGAACCTGAGCTCCTATACATCATTCCTCATATGCCAAGTGTATGATTTCAGCTGTGATATTAGGCATAGCACTGAGTAAAATGGGACACTTCCTTAAATGGAGAAAGTGATTATTAGAGCAGCTACTTACAGATTGACATGAAGGTTGATCATAGTTGGTTGAGATAATGACACATTCAGAAGGAAATAAGAATGCAAGCAAAATAATTTGAAAACAGGAAGCAAAGAATTTATTCAAATACAGATGAATATAACTGTGATATTGTGCAAGAGATTATTTTCCTGAATGTAATGTAATTACATTAGCAGGATGTGTAAGCGTTTTTTCTGGCAAACATAGCACCTTACATTCAGCAGACAGTTTATTTGCAAGCCTATCTACAAGCCTATTGGGAAGTGGGGAACAAAAAGAAGTAGAATTGCTATGACTTCAGCAATATAAAGGTACCAGTCAATGGAATATAAATAAATCTTCCACCCCCACACCATGTTGATTGATAAGAAACATGATATGGAAATGCCTAATCCACTTATGCAGTGTTCCACGACACTAAGAAATCTACTATTGATTAATTTGTTTTCATACTACCAATGTTAAAGAACAATTAATTATTTGTCCGTAATCTTCACTTTCTCATCTGTCAATCTAGCCAGTGATTGCTCTATGTAAAGATTCAGGAAAACAGAAAGGCCAGTTGGACTCAATTGCTCTTAAGCTCTGGTGGGCTAAATGGCCATATGCGCTCCTATATAATGAGCCATACAGCCCAAGAATGTTCCACAATTAATTCTGGCTCTGATGGGGAACTAGGGAGATATATGTACCTGGTCTAGGGATGGGTAAAATACAATAGAACCTTGTATGGCTCAGTTCCAGACAGGGCAGGACATTCACCAACCGAGTCACCAACAGAAATGACATGGACTGAAAGATCCCATAATGGTTATGGCCTGAGCCTTGGAGAAAACTTATTGCTGATTCACCTTAAGAACGATTATTTTGCTTCAAAGGCACTACCTATTACTTATAGCAATTCAGTGCAATTTATGCTCAGAAATTCAGACTACTACTAGTTCGTCACATGTTTGTGCTATCGTGCAATAGGATTATCACTATAGTCCTTCGACGATGCTAAAAATTCTACTCCATTATGCTGTGGGCAAAACTTACTAAATTGGCTATCCTGCGGGGCCGGGGGGGGGAGGTGCTCCTTGAAGCTGAGATGCCTCCAAGGTGCTGGATTGGTAACAGAATGTCAGAATTGAGTCAACCTTCTGCAAGCAACCCCAACAGCAACACCAACAGATTAGATTTACACAGCACTTTTCACGTCGGGAGGACACCCCAAGGAGCTGGACAGTCAGGGGTTTCAACCCGAGCAGGCAGTTGGATCAGGAGGGGTGTGGGGGGTGGGTAGGGGTAGGAGGGTGACCGAAAGCTCGATCAAATAGGAGGGTCTTGAGATGTGCCTTGAAGGAGGCGAGGGAGGCAGCGAGGTGAAGTGACTGTGGGATGGAGTTCCAGAGGGTGGAGGCAGAGAGACTGAAGGCTCGCCCGCTGATTATTTTAGAAGAAAACCGGCAGCTATACACACACAGACACAAAGAAGAAAGCCACCCTCAAGAACAGTCAATGCCTCCACTTGAGCACCCTCGTGTGTGGAGCAGGGGCCTGAGCTCGGTGTCGGGAGACGCACCTTGTCGCGTTTCACCCCCGACAAAACACAAGTCAATTCACGTTACGGTACATCCTGGCGAAGCGCTTGGAGACGTCTCGAAGACGTGATCAGGGCCCCATGTCAAATGCAAAGAATGTTATTATTATTATTGTTGTTGACAAAGGGATCCAACAAGTAAAAGCGCAACTTCAATCACATCTCAGTGCTTGAGATCCATCTTTACTTATCCACCCCACCACACACCCACACACCAACACACATTTTGATGCTGGTTAGCAAAATGGCTAACAAAAAGTTATTCAGGGTGGAAACTGACTGACTTGACTGACTGACTGACCTGCCACACAGAGCGAGAGAGAGAGTGAGGTGCAACAACAACAACAAGCTTGCATTTATAGAGCGCCTTTCACGTCGGGAGGACGTCCCAAAGCGCTGTACAGTTGGGTCGGGACCCGAGCATTGGGGGGAAATGGTCAGGGTGAGGGGAGGGAAGGGAGGGAGCGAGGAGGGGGGAAATGGTCAGGGTGAGGGGAGGGAAGGGAGGGAGCGAGGAGGGGGGAGATGGTCAGGGTGAGGGGAGGGAAGGGAGGGGGCGAGGAGGGGGAAGAGAGTCGAGAGCGGAGCTGAAGGCTGAAGGTACGGTCAAAGAGAAAGGTTTTGAGACCGGCCTTGAAGGAGGAAAGGGAGGAGGCGGCGAAGGCACTGGGGATGGAGTTCCAGAGCCTCGGGGCTGAGAGGCTGAAGGCCCGACCACCGATGGTGGGGCGGTTGGGGCGGGGGATGTGGAGCAGACCGGAGCCAGAGGGACGGAGGGTACGGGCAGGTAGGTAGGGGGAGAGTAGGTCAGAGAGGGAGGAGGGAGCGAGGCCGGGAATGGCCGTGTAGGTGAGGATCTTGAATTGGATCCTCTGGGGGATGGGGCGCCAGTGGGGGGGAGCGAGGGCGAGGGTGGGAGTGATGTGGGCGCGATGAGGTACGGTTTAGTCGGCACCTGGAGGGAGAAGCGGCCCCCGGGAAGGTTCCCGCCTCTTGTTGACAGCGACCGTCGCTCGCGATGGCAACCAAGTACGCGGCTGCTGATTGGCCGGCGTTTGGTCGGGGCGGCCGGCGTATGACGAACGAGCTGCGGGCCCGGCCAATCGGGTGGGCGGAGGCCGGGTGGGTGCGTGCGTGCGTGCGTGCGTGCGTCGGTGGGCGGAGCGGCGCGACTGGAGGCCGTGGCGCGAGCAGAGCTGAGAGGGGCAGCGCGAGCGGAGGCTTCGGTCTTCTGTCCTGTTTCCCCCCTCTCGTGCGGCGGCGGTTGGAAGCTGAAGGGGGCGGGAAATATGCGCCGACGGCGAGCGCGAGGCGGCGGTGGCGGCCGCCATCGCCGCGGCGTCGTCGTCGTCTAGTCGCCGCAGCATGAATAATCACGGCGGGCTTTCCTCACACGTTTCTTCTCTCGGCTTTCACCGGTGGTGGCGCGTCTCCTGGCAGCGAGTCTCGGTGGCGGCGGTGGAGGAAGATCGACGGCGGCGGTTGCGACGACGACGGTGAGAGAGCGAGAGGTGGCCGGGGAGGGGGGGGTTGTAGAGGGAAGTGTGCGTGAGGGGAGGCAGGGAGGGAGGACAGGTGTGTGTGTGTGTCCCTGTCCCGAGGGGCTGGAGCTGTGTGAGGAATGTTCTCGGCGTCGTAAATGCCACCGATTCCGTTTCCTCCCCCCCCCCCCCCCCCCCTGTCCGTGGACGATCGCCGCGCTCTCGCCCCACACAGCGCGCAGTCACTACACTTCGCAGCGCGGGTATCCTCGTCCGAGCGCTTTTGAGGCGTCGTCCTCCGGGGACGTGATCGGGCGCTGTCGTATCCAAGTGCAAGGATTATTATTACTATTATTATTCGTATTATTATCTCCAGCCCTTCATCAATCCAGCAACCATCCCTCCTCCCCTCTTCTCTCCCCACCAGCTTTTATTTTAAAGTTTACTTTTTTTTTCTCGAAAAAAAACCCCCCCCCCGGTCTGCGGGGGTTTTTTTTTAAAAAAAACGCCCACCTTCAGAATCTCGGTGGCGACGGGGTCGTCGTCGTCGTGTGTTTTGTTTTTTTTTAAAAAAAAACCGGTAGTTTATTCGCCGAGACCACGGATACCGTCCGTGGCTGCGTTCAGGCTCGCGGGCGGACCGAGAGCCCCCGGTTGGGCAGAGCTGGGGAGGGGGGGGGGGGTTGTCGGTGGTCCAAGAGAGGCCTGAAATTGCACTTAACCTGTACCAGGACCACCTTGTCTTAACGTGTGTGTGGCTCCATCCGCAGTGCTTTCTCTCCCCTTTGTTTTAAACCAATAACAAACGTACCGTTGTTGGATGTGCGTGTGTCCCCCCCCCCACACACACACACACACACCACCCCCAGTGCGAGAATTTAAGCAAACTTTTGTGTGTGTGTGTGTGTTTATAGGGGGGTGGGGGGTAAATAATGTATCTTGTTCTTTTTGCTGATCGTGCACTGATACCCCCCCCCCCCCCGTTTTAACCTCGTTTCTTTGTGTCACGAAAGCGTACGCTTTAAGATGATCTCGCAGGGAGAACGGCTTGTGCCCGCGTTGCAATTAGTTGTTGAAATTTCTTTTAACCGCGACGTCTCGCCCTGCCAAAGCATTTCGTGTCCCACCCCCCTCTCCTCGCCGCCTTCTCCTGATTAATCTGTGTGACTGCAGTAAAATAACGAATGCTCCTGCAGTCGGGAGTTTACGCAATGTTGCAAGCGTTCGGCTGCTTTGAGCGTGTGTGTGTGTGTGTGTGTATGTGCTCTCTGTACTGAAGCTGGATTCAAGCTAAACTAGTATCTTGTCCCGATTCGTGTTTCATGCTCCTCCGTTGGTGTTTATTGTTTTATTGTGTATATAAACTGGCCCGGTAATTATCCCGTGTCAACAGCGTTTACAGAACAATTGGAAGAGGTTAAGCTTTTGATATGGTTTTGATGTTTTCTTTTACTTGGTGGTGGGAGTTGGGTATCTGTCTGCCTCGCACTGATAATGTGCTGCATTGTGGAGGATACCATAGTAATGATTGTAAATGCTGATAGAAGGGAAACCAGCAGAGCGTCCTCTCTGTGCGGTTGGGGCGTGGAATGAAACCACATCTGAAATACCACAAATCACAGCGGGTGCCACAACGTTTTTTTTTTAACTTTTAGGTGGGGAAATGGGATTGTTGTGGTTTCAGTACGTTTATGCTTTAGTATCTAGCTGATCCTGGAGCATCTGTAGAAAAAACATCTTGTGTTTTTCTACGAGTCTTTCTGTTACAAGTCATGAGAGAACTGAAGACCATTTGTGCCAGAAGCCTACAAGAAACAGGAATGGGTTTGTTTAGATAAACAGCTGACACTGACCATTATCTTAAGCCATCAAAGAACATTTGTAGTATGCTTCAAAAAGAATAATTTAAATGGAAGTCTTATTTCTAGAAAACCACATTAAGCAAGTTCACGGTGAATCAAATGTATCCTATTCTTTTTGCTGATCATGATGATCCTACTTGCACAGTGGGCCATTAATCTTGTTTCTTTGTCTTAAAAGTACGTTTAGATTATTTCATAGAAAAATGGCTTGTACATGTTGCATTATTTGTAAATTCTTAGGCACAGCATCTGATTACATGAATTTTGTCCTTCCCTTTCCCAATTTGACAATCCATGACTTGCGTGTTATTTGGATGCTGGGCTGTTATATATAGAAAGAAACAGGTCTGGCAAACTTGGTTCGGGAGCTTGTGCACCAGAATTAAATTATGGCACAAAATAAGGCATGAAATAGGTGCTGAGAGATGCACAGCATACAGTGCTTCACAAGAGGTTAACCCAGAGAACATTTTGGGTAGGGAACCATTGTTAGCTTGAGGAGGAGTCTGTTATGTACTAAATTTAATGTGCTGCTAAAGCAGATTTATCAACACTTCCAGATTAATGAACTGTTGAGAAAGTTAGTGGCAGCAGAGATGGAAATATTTCTAATTTACAATTTTGTCCTGAGGCTGGAAAGATACTCAAGGTAGAGAAAACATTGTACATTACAGCACCTTAATACTGTAAAATGATGGAAAGGAATGATGCTAAGTTTGTTTTATGTGGAAGGAAAGGGGATTAAAGGGGGGGGGGTTGGAGTTAGAGAAAGGAGGAATGGGAACCAGAGGGATAAGGAGGTATAGTAGTTTAGAATATGAATCGCAGGAAATATTTCAATGCTATATAGAAAAAGTTAGATTTTATGTAGTTTACATCAGCAGATGCATTATTAAAAAAAATAATCCTTACATTTAAATTAATAATAAAACAAATCATTTGATATAGCTCCCTTTTTTAGGGGGATGTCTCAATACGTTTCACAGAATTTTATTGTAATGCAGTATATAGTGATTGTGTAATTTGTTGGTGAATTCAGCAGCCAATTTGTCCCACAAACAACTGTGAAGTGAATGTCACCTGCAAATTTAACTATCTTGCATTGAGCTGAAAATCCTTTTATGTATACTAGGAACAACAGGGATCGTAGCATGATATCTGAGATAACCCACTCAATATTTCTCCCTATTTTGATCTATTTCTGTCAATTTGCTGCTTTTTCCATTGCTCTCGTTGACCACCTCTCTAACTCCATACCAAGGATGTCTCAACTGATTTAGATCTCCACAGCTCAAGTTCTCTCTGACATACAACATTGTATGACATTACCCCATCTTTGCCTAAGCGCTATTGGCTCCTAAAATCCCAGCGGATCAATTTTAAGATTCCTGATCTTCAAATTCTTCCATAATTTTGGCCCACCCATCCTGCCTTTGTAATCTTTTCTAACCCTTCATTACCACTCTCACTGGCTTCAGAAACTGCCTTTTAAAGAAAACTACCTTTGATTATTTATGCTTTTGATAAGAATATTAAAACCATGTTTCCGTGGGGTTTGGTATTGACGAGTACATTTATCAAGTGTTTTGAGACATTGTTTTACATGAAAGCATTATGAAAATGCAAGTTATTATTCCCTTTAGTCAGTTACTAACTCATGCCCATTGCCAGACTGACAGATTGTAAAGTAGTTTCTTAAGTCCTGCATCTATTAAAGGCATTTTGTAAGTTTAGCTACACTGCGTCGTATAGTTTCCCATGTCAGCTTGGGATGTCGTCTCAAAAAGTCTGAAGTTAGTCATGCATGACCAAGCTGTGTTACCTGTCATTTATAGTTAATTCTTAAATTTCCGTATAGGTGCTCTTTGCCTTTTGCTTCCTGCAGAGAGATTTTAATGAAACTGAAAATTGAAGACGGTGATGTTTGAGGGAATTCATTATTGATGTGTTTTTCTGCCTTTCAGTATTTTCCATAAGAACCTGATTCAGACTGTTCTAGAATCCATTTAACAGAATATTGCCTTTGACATTACATCTGTGCATTGTTTTCACTTGTAAAAAATATTTTTTCATCTGTATGAAATTGAAGTTTGGATGTTTTTTATGTTCTACACTTTGTTGATGGTGTAAGCTTCATATAGTAGAAAGCAGACGGCACAATGCAACTAATTGGCTTGTACTGTAGTTAATTATCCTTGTATTTGATGTATAGCGCCTGGGCAGGTAAAAAACATTTAAAATGCTCATTGTTTTTTATAAAGTGCGACTGTATTTTTGTAGGCAGCATTTGTAATTGCTTTCAAGGAATTCTTTCTGCTATTCTGTAAACTAACAGAAGGTGCATGTACCTATTTTGTTCCATTGCATTCTACTAGAAATGGGAAATGCCAGGTTTTGGGATGGAGTGTTGTGTTTGGGATTATTTTGCAGGTGTGTGGTATATAAAGTAGGATCCTACCCTTTAAAATCAACAAATAAGCAACTCTTAATCTGATGTTAATAAAATGTCCATCGTACACATTAACCCTAGGTTAGTTTCTTTATTTAAAAAAGAAAAATGTATTGAAATAAATTGTCATTTACCATTTTTATTTCTAGTTTATGTACGTTTGTCTGTTTGCCTGTATTCTCTCCTTTGGCCTTTTTATCCTACCTATTGATTTGAGTGTTTTATGATGCATGCAGGCACTCTGGTTGAAAATTGGTGCACTTTACAAGTCCTAATCCACCTCTGAATAGTGTACAAATGTAGTATGTCTTTGCTCATCACCTTTGTTTCTTGGAATTTACCTGCAGGCACTGGCATGTCGAAAGCATACTAAAACTCAAGTTCCTACTTGCCACTTATTTTCAAAAACTATGTTCAAGACCAGAGTTAAACCTGGAGAATGTGAACAACAAAATCTGAATGCAGTGGCATTTCTTTCGAGTGCCATCTGAGATGTAGTCTAATCTACCACTGCCACATTTGTCATTTTTTAAAAAAAGTTTGTTACGCATGGTGTGGCTGGTCTGATTAACTCTTCTAGTGGTGTAAACAAACTGGCAAGAGCAAACCTTCTGTGTTGTTCTCAGTTGATATTAATCCTATTAACTTCATGCATATTCTGAAGACTGCCAGATTCTGTGGCTTCTCCACTTCTACACTTGCTG